AATGACGAGGGAAGCGTGCAACAACTTACCATATAGCTTTTGTACTTCTGCCAGTGCATGTGTTGGCTTTTTCCCCCATTCCTCAATCGTGTTGAGGTATTTGCGCCTCTTCTCCACTGGGATGGCCACAGTGCGCACCTCGAGGTCCCATACAAAGCCGAGGTATGGGACCACTGAGCCAAAGGGGATGGTCTTGGAGCTCTCCCACGGAATGCCCAATTCATCTGAAAGAAGATCAATATCTTCGTCAGCGTATGTAAAAAGAGCATCATTGGCAGAACGTGCGGATACGCTTGAGAGATCGCGTATGGGGCTGGCCATGTCCTCGTCAAACTCCTCTGGGCACCCATCAGGCATGGTGTCGCCTCTGTACCAAATACGACTACCTTCGTGTAGGCGTCCTCCATTGGTTTTGACCAGTTGATGCCAGGATTGGCGCTGGGCATTGTACACGCTGAGGCAGGAGCGGGGAATTCGAAAGAAAATGTGGTCATCGACCCATTTTGATAAGGGACCAATTCCGTTCGCACGGAAGATGTCCGTTCCTGCATCCGCAAGAAGTCCATGGGCCCCACCTGCAGAGGTGAGGCCAAAGTTGTTGCATGTGTTGGCGGCGAAGGTGTCTGCACCTCGTAGTTGCACGACCAAACCTGGCCACTGACTGTGATGTACAGGTATGGTCCTGTAAGCCTCAGCGACATCTCGAATGGAGGCCTGGGAGCCGGGTGGTAGTCGGAAAATGATGAGGCATATCGTGGAAAAGGTCCCCCATGTGCAGGGGAAATCATGTGCATTGATGGCAGAATTGATAGATGAGATTGGATTTGTCGATGGCTGACGCGGGTGGGAGAAGTCATGCACCCCGCGATATTTTCCCGGTTTTCCAGGTTTGGGAACAAGGGAGAGGGGGGATGACTGGAAGGGTCCAATGACAGATTCCAGTTCTGCCCTGGAGAAGGGGCCAATGTATCTGCCCTTCCGGAATTCTTTCTCCACAATTTCCTCATATTCTTCAAGAAACTTATTAATAGACGGGTTATTAGCTGGAACATATGATTGAGATATATTAGGAATCCCGAGATCAAAGCCGTGCGTAAGGCTGTGGTATAATGTTGGATAACGGGAGTCGAGACTGTGTCTGTCGAGTTGACTACGCCATGCCTCTGGCTTGTAAGGGGTGCGGGGGTTAGTTCTTCTGGACCTGAGGGCATTGCTGAGCGCCGTGCCCTGACTTCCCACACCCTGAGCAGGTGTGCCGAGAGGGGTGTACAGTGTCTGAACATCCTGCTGAGGTCTGGAAGCTGAAACAAATGGGGAGCCCGTCGATGGAGACGAGTCGCCCATTGTCGGCTCTTCGTACCCAGACCTTCCCCCCGTTCCATAGCTTGGTGGCGGAGCATTTGGCATAATCGTGCTCGTGGCGTCCCAGGCATACGACACAGGCGGAGGAGCCACGTCCCGCTGTGCCCCCTTGAAAAAACGAAGCATTGCCGCTTCTGTTTCTGCCTCTGCCGTTTGTGGCCTGACGGTTGCGCCTGCCCTGTGAACCAGCATCTCTGGAGGAGCGCTCTGGCGAGGCGTAACGACGACGGCGCTGGCGGGGAGGGGAATGCGAACGCGAGCGAGAGCGCGAGCGTGAGGGGGATTGCGCGCGACCTCGTTTGGATGGAGACGAGGATGAGCCCATCCTGGAGCTTCTCCTGTCCCGGTCCCGTGCTGGGGACATGGCTATGGCATCATGCTGCAATGGCAATGTCGTTAGTGGCATGGCGTGGCATGGTTGTCAGTGGTGTGGAGTGACGAGGCATGGTTGTTGTCGATAGTGGCATCGCGAGGCGTCGGATTCAGGTGTTATAGTGTTGTTTTGTGGGCATTTGGCGTGATGGCAAGGCATGGCAGATGGCAATAAGGTGGCGGGATGGCATGGTATGGCAGACGTGGAGGAAAAAGGGTGGGGGGGAAGGGTGGGTAGAAGCAGTCAGCGTATGTTGGAAATTCGGGGGGGAAGGAGGGGAATAACTGACCTTTTTGACGGAATCCATCCTGACCATGTCCCACACCTCCTCAGCCACGGTGCTGAGGAGCGTCTTATTTATAGGCGCGATGTTAAAGCCTGTGCCTCTCGACAGCTCGTCGTGCCACAGTCTCCTGGCCTTGGCTTGGTATACAATGAGCACCTTTTCACCGTGGGGCCGTGAGCGTATCGGTTCAAGCTCGAGGTTGAAGTAGAAATGCGCGAATGACTGGATATGCTTCTGGGGCCAGTCGCAGAAGCCCATGTACTGAATTAGCATGTTCTTCGCGATGTTCATCTGCGTCCAGGTGAGGTTAGCGTCTGGGACAACGTTCCGGGATGCTTTGAAGGATCCAACGGGCTTGAACGCGACTAGGTCGTCGACCTTGGTGATGCCATATGCGTCATCTGATTGGGCCTTGCTGGCGTCCTGTGCCTCAGCACATCCTTCGTCAGTAAAGTACCATAACTCGACATAGCTGAATGACTTCAACTTTCCGATGGCAAACTGTGACGGACGAGCCATGACGTGGTCGGCGATTATCTTGCCCTCGTCGAAGTCGTTGATTTTGGGCCGTTTCTTCTCTTGCTCTTTCCTTTCCTCGTCCTTTAGGCGTCGGTCTTCCTCTTGGCGTCTCGTCTCTTCTTCTGCCACCAGCCTGGCCTGCTCCTGGTGCTCTTCTAGCTCTGTCTGCACTTGCTGGTTCCAAGCTTCGACTTCGAGCTCGTGCGTTTGGTTCCAAGCAGTGGTTAGTTGTTGTATAGCCTGGTCGTTGGTTACCTGGCCGTTGTTGGACAGGACTTGCCTGACAGCGGCGTGTCCTGCTCCTGCGAAATCCGGGCATGGGACATTGGTCGGGTCCTGAAGAATTCGCGGCATGGGGATGTGTAGTAGGGAATGTTACTGTGTGTAGTTCTAAAGAGTGTAGTAGGCAATGAAAAATGAGGAAGGAGCTAATGAACTCCTTCTGTGTGGCGAACGAGGTGGTGGTAAGAAGAGAAAACGGCACGTGCCGCACCACTCGTTCGCTCAAAGACCCTATTCTAACGCTACACTCGTTCCTCGCTTCGCTAGCGAATCTCAATCTCCCATATCCGACCCTGGATTCAACTCCTTTGGGACTTTGATGGGACAAGACGAAGGGAGTCGTTTTCTCGGGATCTTCCGCTCGCAGCCCCTTGGACATAAGTGTCAAGTGAGATCTGTGTTGCGTTGCGACGATGACATTTTGCTCGCCCCTATCATACCTACTCATAACGATGGCCCACAAGAGGAAATTGGAAAGTGGGTAATTTGTTGACAATTCCGTCAAGGCTCAAGTTGGGCTCAAGGTATCACCTGGAGTAACCTCGGGATTTCCAACTTGAACGCCGCCCGCAAAACCCTAATTAAGTCAATTCGTTCACAACTGCAAGCGGGACGCGTCAGCGGAAATCCCTTGTTTATTTTCATTTCCGGATTTCGAGGGAGGGTTGCGACTTGCTTGTAGGTCCGTGGCCGGCCTGCAACGGTCATTGACCTGAGTAGGTGCATGCATACATACGCTTGCGGCGAAAGGTACCGACCGTGATGAGCAACGGAATAATAGTGTAGGCGTAGGGATTGAAGGGGTCGTTGAATGTTAGAATGGTGCGGGAGCGTTCTTGTCACCAAGATTCCGAGTAGTACGGGGGGCAGCAAGGTCAATAAACAAGGGTATGTGGAATCTGGATGGATATTTCTCTACCCTTACGGTACAGGGGGTATACACTAAAAGTCCAGCATTAGGCTACAACAGAATGAGAGGCCTCGATGATCATCATACATGATATTCAGGTACGAAAGATATCAACAGGTTTTGAAAACCCAAAATAGAACCATGCACAATAACGAAGAAGAAAGAAACAAAGACGACCTGCGGAAAAATGAAAGGTCAGATAATTGACAACATCGACGAAACCACACAGTGACTCACATAGACCAAACTTTAACCAGGAAGCCGCCCATAATCCTCCTCCTCATCCTCAAACGAGTTCGACCTCCCATGCATCAACCCTTCATTCCTCAACGCGCTCGAAGTCGGCGGGTACCCCATCCCACTCCCACTCCCCCCAGTACCAGGTCTCATCCCACCCCCACCCCCACTGCCCCCCGTACCAGGTCTCGGCACAAGCCCACCAGGAACAGGGGAATACCTCAGCGTCGCACTCTGATGATCAATCGACAAGCTCCTCGCGTCGAAATCCGGTAAACTCCCCTTTTGATCTGGGTCCTCGATGATCCGATTAGGTAGGTGTCCATATTTACTACTTGGGTACGTGGTGTTTTGGTTTGGCGAGGAGGGCGAGTCGGCGAGTTCAACTTGGGCTGGGCCGATGACCATTGCTGGGCGGGTGAGGAAGAAGAGGAGGAGGTTGAAGAGGCCGGAGAGCGCGTAGAGCGCTGATGCGAAGAGGGTGAATTGGTAGGGGATTGTGTACCCGCTAAAGTAGAACCATCGGGAGAAGGTGTTGGGGAGGACACAGCCGACGTATACTGCTGGGTAGCTGTTGTTTGATGTTAGAAGTATTCTATGAGGAGTGTGAAAGAAAAAAAAAGACGGACAAAAGCATCATTCTTGCAATCTTTTTGTTATCCCTCTCTTCCTCGGTGTCGCCCCCGGAGAGATCCAAATGAGCGCGAGCCTTGCCATGCCAGTGGAGTCCATCGTCGTCAATGATAACATAACCCTGTATGACCAGAAACATGAAGCCATACAGGATTATGAGGGCCACCGCCGTGGACCAGACCCACAAATATTCGGAGACGATCTGCTCCGCTTTGTATTTATTAACGATCCAACACCAATACGAGCCCGGGTCGGCTCCGTAGTATACGTCGTGGCGGAAGACTGCATTGGGTATGCCGACGACGAGAGCTGTGAATATCCAGATGCCTAGGACGACGAATCTTGAAAAGTTTTGAGGAGTACGCCATCGTAGGATTAGGATGGCGAAGGTGTGCAGGGCGATGGCCTGGAAGTGACGTGTTAGTTAGACTGCAGGATTTGATAGGGCTGGTATGCGGAGACGTACCATCGTCCTGAAAGAAAACGAAATGAGTTGGGTTTGGGGTAATGAAGAATTGAAATTACTTACGTGAGGGCCACGCCGTTGATGCCCACCTGCTTCAGAGCAGCCTGGGCCGTGCAAAGGTGTCCTTCAGTGATTTTCTGTCATTCGCGGTCATTTTGCGTCCTCGTAAACGGGACAAAACTCACGGCGTCTGCAATCCATCTGATGCTGGGAAGGTTTCCTAGGAACGGGAGGGCGTGTGAGATTAGAAAGGAGCGTTCATTCATCAAAGAAGAAAACCTACCGAGGGCTTGAATGAGGTCCGCAACCATGAGATTTAAGAAGAGACCGGAGTCTGAGACTGATGCTTCGTTTTTGCTGCTCAAAGTTCGTCTCGACCATTTGACCTTTTAGATGGATGAGTCAGGTTCGGCTGGGAAGCAAAAAAAAGGAAAGTCGCGACGCACAAGGATGTAGGTCATAATGACCGTTACAGATAGTGCGGAGAGGCTGTGGGGGGGGATTATCTGGTGAGTTGTGGGGATGAGACGCGCTTGGAAGGGTACTCACATTGAGGACTGGACGGAGAAGGTGACGCCCAGCCGCTCACCGAAGGAAAATTGTTTGGGCGTCAACGTCGACATGGTGGTGGTCGGGTGATGGTCCTAAGAAGATCGCCTGCATTAACGGGACGCCTTTATGTATGAACTATATCATTGACAGCGGGCAGACCCATGATCAAGTATTGCTGTGCCCTGTCTTTAGAATGCACAGCACCCGTCCTGAAAGAAAAAGATTCAAACTGCCCAGGTACATGTCGTTGATTTGAAATTGTTGGTGAAGTTGAAAATCACTTGGTGGCGCCGCGAAAGCAAATAGTTAGTCTTCATTTTGTAGGCTGGATAGATTATTGGCTGAGCGTACACGTAGTCGCAAAGTTACTTGCTCAAGGACTGCTGAAAGAAAGTGAATCGAAGGCTGTTGAACGTTACCAAGGAAAGGGCCCTGATCGGGTGTTACTGATGACACATTCCGTGGTCTGATCGGAACTGGTAGCAATTGGATATTTAAATCCTGTACTTACTAATAATAGTTCCTTACCATCTTCAGCCCGTTTAATAACAAGTAAATTCTTGTTCATACACACCACGCTTTGAGCTTACGCGTTGGGGCTGTTCAGGAATAGAAGTAGCCAACGCGTCACCGTCCAGCAAAGGCAAATAAGAGGGACGCGGCTCGGAAGAAGTCGAGGAGGTATATAACGCGTTTTTCTCGCGCCTTCCTTCGTGCTCACCGATGACTTGGAAAAAACCGGTTACATTCCCCTACTCACAAATTTTTCACTCCAGTCCTGCGTCGTACTTCCACGACGATGGCCCCTCGAGCTCGTTTCCTTCCTTCATGCCTTGACGGGATCGAGGATGTCGAAGATTACCAACCCGGTGGATACCACCCAATATCCATTGGCGACGCCTTCGACAATGGACGTTTCAGGGTCCTTCATAAACTCGGATCTGGAGGCTCCTCTGTTGTTTGGCTGGCTCGCGACCAGCGGGGAGACGGAGGTAAACTCGTCACACTCAAAGCAATGCGCGCCGACATCTCCTCATCCTTCAAAGACCCAAGCGAAATCCCCGAACTGGATATATCCCAAAAATTGAGAGCGTCTCTACCTCCTTCCGAGAGTGTCGCCTTCCAGACTGTTGACCACCATTTCTTCGTACAAAGTCCGAATGGCTCCCATCTATTTCTTATATTCCCTCTTGCTGGCCCCAGCGTCCTTGCTGTCTCAGAATCACCCGGAAGGATTACTGGTAGTCGACGATCAAGTGCAGATTTGGCTAGGAAGGTCGCGAAACAGACGGCGATGATGTTATACCACATGCACTGCGCCGGCGTCGTTCATGGAGGTAAGCAAGCAGTTCTTCCTCAACGATGTCAGTTGATTCCTTCTATGTAGACCTGACCACATCGAACATCTTGTTTCGCCTATCACCCCACGTCACCAACTGGTCAGACGCCGAGGTATACGCCCATCTGGGACATCCAGAGACAGAGGACGTCGAAACCTGTGATGGACAACCGTCAGGCCCACACGCACCACCCGTGCTCGTCGCACCCATCGACAACTCCAAGATATCCCACGCAAACCTTCTTCAAGAAAACATCATCGTCAGTGATTTCGGGCAATCTTACCTCACCACCTCCCCACCACCGTCCTACGAGCCACGTACAATACTGAATTACCAGTCGCCCGAAGCACGGTTTGAAGATCTCGCAGGGCTAGAGGCAGACATCTGGTCTCTCGGATGTGCGATCTTCGAAATCCGCGCGGGGTTTGCTCTATTCGAACCGTTTTTTGCAAGTGACGTTGATATTCTCAGACAAACAGTTGAGACGCTGGGACGGCTCCCTGACCCTTGGTGGGCTGATTTCGAACAGCGCTCGCTATGGTTTGATGAGGACGGACAGCCGAAGAGCGAGGAGGATCAGGAACCTTATGTGAAAGCTTGCAGGAGCTCTATTAGGGACAAGTTGTGTGAGATTGGCGAGGGGGATGATGAGCTGCCGCCTTTTGGAGATGAGGGTCTGATGATTGAGAAGATTGGGGTGAGGCTGTGTGAGGAGGAAGTTGGATTGTTGGAGGATCTTTTGGAGAAGATGTTGAGGTATCGCCCGAAGGAGAGGATTGGTATACGTGATGTCGTCCGGCATCCGTGGTTTGGTCCTTGAGGGATTTTACTGGATCACGACAGTCGCTCTAGCGGTTTTTGACACTGGCACTACCTTCATCGGTGGTCGACAAAATGAACCTCCTGCGGCATGGTCCGAAATTCGAATCGCCATTTTATCTTATCTTCAGTGCCTGGTCAGCTAGTGGGAACTAATACTGTTGCCTACTATTGCCGAACACCGAATTCAATTTTTGACGAGGAAGCTTACGGTGGCCATGTAAGAGTCTGCATCAACGATATTGCCACCTTCAGCCATGTCGTCCAACGTTTAACAACAAGTAGGTAATTCTTGTGCATAGACACCGCATTGTGTGCTGACGCGTTGGGCGTTGCCAGTGATAGTACTAGCCACGCCATCCAGCAAAGGCAAATAAGAGGGAGGTGGCTCGGACGAAGAAGAGGAGGAGGATATGGTATAGAACTCTCGCGTCTCCCTTCTTGATCCAGACCAAAGCTAACCGACCATGCATATGCAGGACGAAAACCCTCGACAAGATCGACCCTCGCCAAAGCCGGGTTCCATGGAAATGAGGAGCGATGATACTGAAGACAATTGCGATTTGAGATGAAAGATTAACGCGGCCAACGTGCCTTGCTAACTGGTCGTAAAAAATCGCTTATGTATGTCTCTTACTCTACCCCAATCTTGCCGGTCGCTTATCAGATCTTTGCACACCCTACCCCACAGTATCCCCCCGTGTTTTCTCTAGTGTTGTGTTGCTGCGAATTTCTATCTTGATGCGATGGCCTTACTGTTATAACCCCCGCCTGGATTTCATTGTGACTGGGATACTGAATGCGACCCTCAACGGTGGTGACTGGTGATAATCGCCTCTGCTGCTTCGCGAACCCAGAAGCTACGGACCAGTGTTGAACTTTCCTGTGCATGAAAGTTTATTGAAACAGTGTTTCCGTTGCAGACTTACGGAATTTAGGAACAAGTTGCAACCCCCGAGCTGCGTAATCAAAGATAAACAAGGATTCCGCTGAACTTCCGTCGCCCGCGTCCTGTCTGTGATTATGTTTCTTGTATAGGGGGCATGGGGGCGCTCGCATGTCCTCGTGGTAACTGATTGACATGCATAGCCTTTCTACTTATAATTACAACTTATAATCAAGCCTCAGGTTCATGCTGGACTCAAGGTCTCACGAACCTTCCCGCTGTCAACTATGTATCGAGATAGGGCGCCTATAGGAGACCTAGGTTTCCAACACCCTTCTCGCTCTTTCATCTGCTCATTCACGTCGGCGCTCCCCCTTCACCGCAATGTTTTTCCTCCCTCAATACGCACTCGCCCTCTTCCTCTTCCCCCCTGTTGCCCTTGCAGACCCCATCCACATTCCACTCACTCGTCGCTCGTCAGGTAATCGTGACATCAACTATTATGTTTCTGCAGCGAAGCATCTGCAGGCCAAGTACAACATAATGGGGAACTCCTCACCTCACGGAAAGAGGGCGAGCTCTGATTCAATACAAACCATTGGCATCGACCTGGTATACAATCCGTTGCCACATATCTCAACAAACTCATCGTCTTTCCAGTTCTCAGATGCGGCTTATGCTGCACTCATAAAGATCGGAACCCCGTAAGTCAATCTGATGATGTCTCTCCCAGCAACTATGCTTGCTGCATTTTGTGGGGTATCATCTCGATTGATGATGCCGCCACGCCTCACAAGTGGTTTCCCAGGTCCTCCGCAACCTGGCCATGTAAAAGAAATCGGCCCAGCGTCTTCACCAGTCATATGCACACCTCAGGACTTAATTGTTGACGAATGTTATCCTGTTTAACAGACCACAATCACTCAAGGTCATCCTCGCCACAGGAGCGTCTGACTTTTTGGTTTTAGACACCTTATGCACCTCCTGCAATTCTACGATCCCGTTATTCGACCCCTCAAAATCCTCATCAATCACTTCAGCATATGCCAATGGCACGATCTCTTTCAATGCATCCAGCAGCGCGAGTGGAATAATCGCACAAGATGTGGTTTCCATGGGCAATTTCATCGTTCAAAATCAAACATTTTGTATGTTAACTCCCACTATGAGTTCAGTTTGCCAGATGCCTACTCCTTACGTTGACCAGTGGCCGTTGACAAGATCGTGGGTGGCTTTTTTGGAGGTACAGTATCAGGGGTTATGGGTCTTGCGTTCTCTGCTGTTTCTGTCACGCGCTCGACTCCATTTTGGCAGGCGTTAGGAAACCAATTGGCTGTCCCTGAGATGGCCTTCTATCTTGCTCGATTCAAGGATGATTCCAGTGCCCAGGTAGATGAACCAGGAGGTGTGTTTACCCTCGGAGGAACAAACTCGACGCTATTCACTGGTGATATTGAATTTTTGGCAATGCCTTCGGGTACCCCAACCTATTGGATTCTCGCCATGTCCGGTAAGTGTAGTAGGAAACATGCAAACTGAGCTAACATCGTTTGATCCATGTAGCAATCACTGTGCAAGGACAGTCTGTTCAAATCATGACAGGCACTAATGTTTTCTTTGACACTAGCACTACCTTTATCGGTGGTCCAACTGCTGATGTCAATGCCATTTGGGCAGCCGTTCCGGGCTCAGCCGTTGCTGTGAATTACACAGGATTCTTCTCTTTCCGTGACTGACAATCTTTCCTCCTTTCAAAAAGTTTATGATCCCTAATACGCCTCATCCATGTCGCAGCCTGCTTTACCTCGGTTCAAGTGACACTTTCCTTCGGGGGCAAGGCGTGGCCGATAAAGGTGACCGACATCAACCTTGGCCAGATTTCGCATGGGAGTTCGCAATGCCTTGGAGCCATTGCCGATATAAACATCGCCACTAACTATTCTGGTCCTCCTGCCTGGGTTGTTGGGAATTCCTTCTTGGTTTGTTGACTCCTTTCGAATGGCATATCATATGCTGATTTCCCTCCTTTGCACCTTGCAGAAGAACGTGTATTCTGTCTTCCGTGCCAGCCCTCCTTCAATTGGGTTCGCACAGCTTTCCAGTGTGGCTGGCGGAATAGGTGAGAGAGAGAACAGTCTGGTCTTCCCAGTGACTTCATCTTCACTTCTCCTTCCAGGCGCTCCAAACAGCAATGATTCCTCGACAACCAATGGCGCTGGTGGCTCTGGTGGCTCTGGAAAGAGCAGTATGTTTCCCCTTAGTATCCGCCTATCTATATCTGACGTCTCGCTTCACTGCAGATGGCGGATCATCAATCAGAATTACATTGCCTGCCATGCTGACCACCGCAACCATTGCCAGTGTTGTCCTCATGTCCTTGTTGTAATTCAAAATTTCTCGATCTTCTTCTGCGCATTAAATGTGGAGGTGTTGTACACTCACGTGTATTAGTAGTTATTCATACCAAGGGACTATTGGTCGGGACGTTGTGGAACCTTCATAACTGTGCTGAGAAATGCGTTTATATCGTAGCGACGCAAACCTTTCATTCATATAATGAGACTCAAATTCATATCGAGTATACAAGACTCGACATGCATAGTGCTAGGAGATGCAAGGGAAGCGTAACGCCGTTAAGGCTCACAGTTTCCATCTCGATCTCAAGAATCCCGGAAGATAGCAAGCCTGCTGGCCCTTGGGCGACATCATGACATAGAGATCAATCCAATGATGAAGTCATTGGTGGGTAGCTGTGTGTGCGTAAAATTTGAAGTATTTAACAGAAAAGAGTTGACCAACGAGGTATATGGATGGATATTGCTTACACTAAGAGTCCAAAGTGAAGCTACAACAGAGTGAGAGGCCTCGATGATAGTCGTGCTTACAAGGCACGATATTCGGGTGTCAAAGATATCGACAACTCTGGAAAACCCAAATAAGAAGCTTGCGAATTGAAAGAGAAAAAGATGACTTGCGAAAAAGTCAAAGGTCAGATAAGTGACTACATGACAAAACCAACAGTAGTAACTCACACAGAGCAAACTTCAAAAAGTCTTAACCAGGAAGCCGCCCATAATCTTCCTCATCCTCAAACGAGTTCGACCCACCATGCATCAACCCTTCATTCGTCAACGGTCTCGAAGTCGGTGGGTACCCCATCCCACCCCCACTACCCCCAGTACCAGGCCTTGGTACAAGCCCACCAGGAACAGGGGAATACCTCAGTGTCGTACTCTGATGATCAATCAACAAACTATTCGCGTCGAAATCAGGTAAAGTCCCCTTCTGGTCCGAGTCCTCGACGATCCGGTTAGGTAGGTGCCCATACTTGATGGTGTTTTGGTTCGGTGAGGAGGGCGTTTCGGCGAGTTCGACGTGGGCTGGGCCGATGACCATTTCTGGGCGGGTGAAGAAGAAGAGGAAGAGGTTGAAGACGCCGGAGAGGGCGTAGAGTGCTTGTGCGAAGAGGGTCAATGCAGGGGGAACCGTGTACCCGCTGAAGTAGAACCACCTGGAGAAGGTGTTGGGGAGGACGTAGCCGATGTATACCGCTGGATAGCTGTGTTTGATGTTAGAAGCGGCCAATAAGAAGTAGAAAAAAACCGACAGAAGCATCATTTTTGCAATGACTTTATTCTCTCTGTCTTCCTCAGTGTCACCCCCGGAGAGATCCAAATGAGCGCGAACCTTGGAATGCCAGTGGACTCCCTCATCATCAATGATAACATAACCCCGAATGACCAAAAACATAAACCCATACAGGAGTATGAGGGCTCCCATTGTGGACCAAACCCATAGATATTCAGAGACGACTTGCTCCGCTCTGTACTTTTTAAGAATCCAACACCAGTACGAACCCGGGTCGGCGCCATAGTATACGTCATGTCGGAAAACTGCGTTGGGTATGCCGACGACGAGGGCTGTGAATACCCAAATGCCTAGGACGACGAACTTTGAAGAGTTTTTGGGAATGCGCCATCGTAGGATGAGGATGGCGAAGGTGTGCAGGGCGATGGCCTGAAAGGGAAGTGTTAGATTTCAGGATTTGATAAGGCTGGTATGCAGAGACGTACCATCGTCCTGAAAACAAAATGAGTTGGGATTGGGGTAATGAAGGATGAAATAACTTACGTGAGGGCCACGCCGTTTATGCCCACCTGCTTCAGAGCAGCCTGGGCCGTGCAAAGGTGTCCTTCAGTGATTTTCTGTTGTTCGCGGTTATTAGTGTTCTCGTAAACGGCGACTCTGGGCAAAACTCACGGCATCTGCAATCCATTTGATGATGGGAAATTCACCTAGGAAAGGGGGTGCGAGATTAGAAAAGAGTGTTGTTGTGCGTTCATTCGTCAAGAAAGACGTACCGAGGGCTTGAATGAGGTCTGCAACCATGAGATTTAAGAAGAGACTGGAATCTGAGACTGATGCTTCGCTTTTGCCGCTCAGGGTTCGTCTCGACCATTTGACCTAGATGAACGAGTCAGGTTCGGTTGGGTAGCAAAAAAGAAAGTGGCGACGCACGAAGATGTAGATCATGATGACCGTGACGGATAACACGGAGAGACTGGGGAGATTTTCTGGTGAGCATTTTGTGGGGTGGGCGCTGGTAAAGGTGCTCACATTGAGGACTGAACGGAGAAGAACATGCCCAGCCGCTCGCCGAAGGAAAACTGTTGAGAATCGGACGTCGACGTCGACATCGTGGTGGTCGGGTGGTGGTCCAAAGAGATTAGGGACACCTTGAGATATCTGCCATTGACGGAACGCTCTTATGCATGCAAAGTATCATTGACAGCGGCTGTGGGCCCATGATCAAGTATTGCTGTGCCATGTCCTAAGAATAAGCACCTTCCACCGATGCTGAAAGGAGAAGCCTCAAACTGCTAAAGATAGCTAAGGTGCATGTCGTGTATTTGAAACTGAACTTGAGAATCGTTTGGTGGCACTGCGAGAGCAAATGGTCAGTTTTTACTGGCTATGGGCTGAGTGTAATTACGTAGTCCCAAAGTTACTTGCTCAAGGACAGCTGAAAGAAATGAATCGAAGGATGTTATTGAGGAAAGGGCCAAGCTGATTGGGTGTTATTTATATTGAACCGTCCTTGAACAGATTCATCGCTTTTTTGTGGTCAAACGTCAAACGTGTTCGTCCCATTTAAATGGTGGTCGTACGTGGTAGTTGCGGACAAGATTTAAAGCTGCAATTGAGTTGCATACAGGAGTAAATTGCTCCGAAGCACAGCCGATGGGGGAATTTGTCAGCACCGTTCCCACGATCGCACTCCGCTCGAGCTCATCGTTTGTGCCAACAACAAAGGGGAAACGACGACCATAACGACATCCACAACACACCTTGACAACGTACAACATACCGCGCTCATCGTCTCCATCGTCAACTGCGTATCCCTCACTCATTCCACAGCCACTTAATCCGACTGTGCATAACTAGCAGCCACTGCTGCGAGTCATCTTGGGGCCTCGAGCTCAACACACACCCCGTAGACGCCTTGTGGTGACGCCGTGCTTGCAAATGCGATGTACTATCCTCAGCAATCACCCGGAATCGCTCACAAGCTTGCGTCGCATCATGACCAGACAGCTTGGAGCAGACAACACCATCCAATTCTTGTCCCTCAGGGCTCTCAGACAGCCGTCGGCCCACCTCCGCCCTCCCCTGGATATGCCCTTTACACCAACGGCGCAGTTGGCACTCTCCAGCATCATCCAGGTCACCACCCCCTCACACACCAAGCTATGCACCACCACCAGAACTCACTCTCACATTACCCCTCTCCACCGAACGGACACACCCACCAGCAGCATCTTCTTGCACAAGGATCGCCGGCAGGGCAGGTCATTTCACCTCACTGGCAGCAGCAGTTGTTGAAGTGCGAAGTATGTGCGCTCTATCTCCTTAATTACTTTTGTTCTCATCAATCTACAGATGATACGCTCGGCACGCTCACCACACCACCGCGCTCGAACAAGCGCTATGGCCTCACGCACAGTGGCGAAATCTGCTATTCCCATCACAAATCCCAACCTCGTCAAACCCCCTCTACCAGCTGAACTCAATGGTACTGCTTCGGAGGTATCCTCGCCCACAACGTCCGATAGACCCGCTTCCAGCCCGCCCATCAATGGAAACGCAGTTAATCGGCCTTCATCCACTGTGGCAGCTCCAGCGGAGGCTTTCCGTCCAACATCAATCATGAAGCCTCCCGAAAACACATGGAGTTCGCTAGACATGGGTGGATTGAATATTAAGAACCTTCCTGCAACTTCAGGCCTCTTTACCTTTACTTTCCTCATCAACCTCTACCTCAATCACAACGCCCTCTCATCCGTTCCTCCAGAGATATCCAAGCTCCGGCACCTGGAGCTCCTTGACATCTCCGGCAACAATCTCTCCACACTCCCTCCCGAAATGGGTATGCTTACCCAGCTGAAGGAGTTGTACGTATTCGACAACCACCTGACCGTGATCCCTTTTGAATTGGGGAGCCTGCATCAACTGCAGACACTGGGCGTAGAAGGCAATCCGCTGGACGCAACCCTGAAGGCAATAATTCAGAAGGACGGTACACCAACCCTCATTTCCTACTTGCGCGATAATTGTCCGACACCTCCAGCGCCTCCGCTCCGAGAGCTGAAGGTGCTTCTCACTGAACCGGAACTGGAGGCCCTGGCCGCCGACCCCAACGCGGAGACGTTCCGCGTTTTATGTTACAACATCCTATGTGAGAGGTGTGCAACGGAGCGGCTGTATGGGTACACACCTTCGTGGGCGTTGGCATGGGAGTACCGGAAAGACCTGATACTAACGGAGATCATCAACTCCGGCGCGGACTTTTTATGCCTGCAAGAGGTCGATATAGCTGCGTATGAGGATTATTTCACCAAGAATCTAGCGGAGCACGGATATGAAGGGGTGTATTGGCCCAAGTCGCGGTCGAGGACGATGAATGAGGCGGACCGGAGGCAGGTGGACGGGTGTGCGACGTTTTACAAGGCGGACAGGTGAGTCGCGATTTTTACTTTTGGTTTGGACAACACTGAATGTGGTGGCTGTGATATTAGATACCAGCTGGTGGAAAAGCATCTGGTAGAGTTCAGCGCAGTCGCCATGCAACGACAAGACTTCAAGAAGACAGACGACATGTTCAACCGGGTGCTAGGGAAAGAGCATCTCGCCATCGTCTCACTCATGGAGGACAAAGTCACTGGGACACGGTTTGTCATCGCCAATGCGCACATTCATTGGGACCCAGCGTACTGTGACGTCAAGTTGGTGCAGGCTGCATTGTTGGTTGACGAGATTGAGAAAATGGCCAGTCACTTTGCCAAGTACCCTCCTCGACCTCCACCATCAGCATCAACGTCGTCTATCGTGCAAGCAGTCGAAGGAGAGGAGCCCGCAGAGACAGGCGCAGAGCCACCCTCCTCTGCTGCATCATCACCTGCAGTACCTCAACATCCCCAGCAGTACCGTACACCACCAGTGTATACAGACGGCACGAAGATCCCGCTGATAATCTGTGGCGACTTCAACTCCATTCCATCATCAGGCGTATACGACTTCCTGTCAAACGGAACCCTACCTGCTGACCACGTGGATTTCAAGTCTCACAAATATGGCCGGTACACATCTGAAGGCTTGCGTCACCGTTTTGGCTTGAAGAGCGCGTACGCGGCGCCTGGGGCTGGCGAACCTCCCGTGACGAACTATGTGCCCACGTTCCAAGGGCACATTGATTATCTGTGGTACTCGGCTGCAAATTTGGGGGTGAACGCTATTCTGAGCGGGGTTGATAAGGATTATTTGGAGAAGGTCGTTGGGTTCCCTAATGCTCATTTCCCTTCAGAGTGCGTTTTTTGTGTTCCTATCTTATTTTATTTTTCAGTTTGTTGACCTGGTGCCCTTTCTATACAGCCACGTATGCATCGTCGCCGAATTCCGTGTGAAACCTCCGAGAGAAAACCCACCACGACCACCACCGCCTGTATTCTCATAATTTCCTGGCGCTCAATCCACTCATCTACTACTCTTGATTGGGTTTGTTCGTCGTCCTCGTTGTCGTCGCTGTCGTTTGGACATTGGCCATTTAGTTGCTTTTGGGTCTTCTGTCTTACCTCCCCCTCTTCTTTCTTCCTTCTCTTTACATTCCCCTATCTACCTAACTCGGCCTAGTCAAACCAAACCATACATAATGGAGTCTAAACCTCTTATTAATGACTTTGGTGTCTAGCTGGTGTTTCGTACCTCTTACTTTTTCCTTTCTCTCTTTCTGTTGTCGCATCAAATATCATTTATTCATCCATTTTCACACTTTTTCTTTTGTGCTCGCTTCAACCTGTCAAACCGGTGTTTTCCGCCTCCCTCTCTCCTCGCCTAGTCATGCTGTGTCTCCTCTGTCCTTGCATATATTCGCCCGTCGCGTCCTTTGATTGATTTACTAGTAGTACTATACACAGCATCATCCCCACCACCCTCATCTTTGTGTAGCATGTGCGTTGTATGATTGGTATGAAAGCAAAAACATCTCTTAATCCTCTCATGCCCTTGTGTGCTTGTGGTTTGGGCACCTCGATCTTCCGGGCAACATGAAACGAACTAGAAACAGGCCTTACGTTCGAGCCAGCTAGATTATCGCCTGGTAGAAACTTGGAAAGCTTCGCCTGACAATGGTCCTTGAAGAGCAACTGGGTGTTATCTATACGTCAATTGGATACTTGGAATCGAAACCCACCTTCAACTAAACCCTCTCGACCCCGGTGATCATGCTTTCATCGACCATTCGTAGTTGGATCGGCTCACACATGACTCGTTCAAACGCGTCACCATTGGGACCATTACCGGCGATATCATAGAATGTGACAAACGCGTTCCTTTCCTTCCACCTCGCACAATGAGCCACGACGACCACCGGCCACGTACCTCTGGGCGGCAATCATTCCAAAGCCCACTCAACGCTTGGGAGCCTTGATGGGGTAGTCAAGAACCCAGGGCCCCACGGGTACTCGTGTTTGACCCATGAGAGTGCTCGCTTATCGTGTAACAGCTGAGGGGAAAGCTTCTCGTGACAACGTCTGTTGTGGTCCTTCGGAGGTAAAAAGGACAGTGAATTTGACAATGACTCTCAAAACGTACGATTGGGGCTTACCCTTAACCATGCCTTTTCCGCTTTAGTGAGCATGCCTTCCTTGACCATTCGTAATTGAATTGGCACACATGTGAGTCGTTCAAAAGCAAGAAAGGTATTGTCGTCAGATTCGTCCTGCGTCTCGAAGGATTGTTGGTTACGTACAGATACACCAAAATAAAACTCACCTTGACACGACGAACAACGTAGGAAGATTGAATCCGAATGCTCCAACTACCCTCGTAATCTTAAAATCCGACGTCAACGTCACATTTTTGCGAGTCAATATCGGTCACCGACATAGAGTGGGCTCAATGGAAACGATATGGCCTGCCATCAAAGGAACGTTTCCCGAGAAACACTGTGGGCTATCGAGCACACTCAAGAATGACCCAGCGTATCCACATCGACGCTAGAGTCGGCTTAAGCCCAAAAGACTATGTGAATGGAGGGATTAGCACAAACCATAAAGTCAAGATCTTCCTGCGAGAGTGCTTTATGAGATAACGCGACCAGCTGGTGACTGGGAGTTCCTTCTACGAAGACAGCACTGGCCATCGCAATCTGTTGATAGAAAGAAGTGTAAGACTGAATTTGAAAGCATTGACAACAGTTGACATACGTGAGCTTGGAGTACCCGGGTGTACGCATCAGATTGCTCCACAGTTGGACGACTGAAGATTACAGTCCTAGCTGTTTCACATACTCCATCTCGATAGTGGATACCCGCTCCGCTAAAATCAAGTAAGACAAGAATGACAGCGAAGGTTGGGATGCATACATGAGGTATGGTCCATCTAACCCGATCATTCGCGCTAATGATTTCTTCGAAGAGTGGCGGGACAGCGCGGGATTGGGACCAGAAGCCGAAATGTGCTTGTGGCTGAAGCAGATGAAATTATTTTCCAACCTTGCGAACCCTGTCAACCGTGCGGATGCTTCGTACTCCGGGACTTCATGTCCCTTGGATAGGTTGTCCTCAAGCCAAGCTAGGAACCTGACCTGATGTGCAGCAAGCATAAGGGTAGATAAAAAGAAACAAAGGATAGACCCCACAAATGAAATTCCGCCTTGAAGGTGTGCGCGTTTCATACTGTCAACCTCGGTCGCATTCTTGACCGCCATCATATGTTCAACTTGGCAAGGTGCAATAGTGTACCGGTAGGGGGTCAGCTTCAAGGAAAATTCGTAACCCGTTTGCGGTGCCATGAGAAGCTAGCACAAGCAAGCGTGGTGAGATGTGGAAAGATGACTGATAATTTACTCACTTTGCCTTCGCCCCATTCTCTAAGACGCAAGAACGACCAAACATCGTCATAGTCCCTTCGTTCAACGCCAATGGACTTGAGATAATCAACAACCCGCTCGTTCATCTTGGAGCCATCGAGGAAGATGATTGCGGCTTCAAGCCCAACAAACAAGTAGGCATGGAAAAGTGTGCTGTAGGCTGTGTCTGATCCACGCATATTCAATATGTACCCTACAAAAGTGAAACCTAAGTTGAGAGAGAAAACGCACACAACAAAAGTATTCACCAACGCAGGGCAACGACGTAATGAGAGTCCCAACGGGGACTTGTGGTTCGGTTGTCAGGTTCGACGGGGTAAACACAGGCTGCCGCTTTATCCATCCTCTCAATTTATCAAGTTTATAAAGTGCATCCTTTCCTATTGAGGTGATATGTGAGACTACTTGTTGAGAATTGGTCGACATACCGGTAAATTCTATCCCTTGAACATACACTGGCTCCTGTGAACGAGGGGGCTTATCTTGCCAGGCGAGATCGATAAGGTTATGGAGTGGGAAAAACAGTGTAGAATCGAGAGGGCCGAGCTTCGCTTTCAGCCGCATAGCCTTCTCGTGTGACACCATGAGCGCATCGATACCTATCCTAGCCCCCCTTACTCGTTCCTAATAAAGATTTCAGTGGGATCTTTGGGGTTGTGAAACACAAAACTCACTCCCAGCCACACTATCCAATCTTTGGGTCCTTCAACTGGATCAATGTCAACAATCTTCCAATTCCGGTCGACTTGCTCTCGAACTTGATACCAGTACCGTGCATCGGTAAGTAGATACGCGCAGGATTTTGATATGATAGCCTGTCCCAATCCCGAAAAGCTGGGCCGAAGAATAGGCGAATGCCCTTCAGGTGCTAGGATGTGTCACTCACCCTGAAATGAGTTCCAGTCGTTTATCGCTCTCAGCAATAACAGATCCTGACTGACACGGGTCTTCGCTCGGAACAATGCTATAGCCACATTTTAGAATTTGAACAAGGGTCGAAGGTGGACGCACTAATAATCCAACGCCTCTTCAGCCATTAATTTTCGAAGCTCTTGCAGTCGAGCGCTTATCGGTTTCGCCTTTATAGAGTCGGCCCTGATAAGGTCGCGTTCGTAGGCAAGCGCGTTGGTTGAATCTTGCAGCCAGGATGGTGGAGGCGGCAGCGGTTTTAATGTCGAGACTGTCGATTTGTCGATGTTACTCCTACTCCGGGGGAGCTCCGAGGTCGTCCAGGTATGCGAACTGCTCTGCGTGGATTTGACAACCTCTAGAGACTCACGCTTGTGGTCCTCTTTGGCAGCATATCGTCCATACGATTCAATGGTTTTCATTTTTAGCTCGTCGATAATCTCTTTTGGGACTCCAGGACGCAAACTCTTGACAGCCTCCTCGAACTCTGCCAAGTGGAGAGTGATATTTCCCGGGGCCGCTGGGATGAAAGGTGTAGATGACGACGGTGGTTGGGGTCTGTCAGAGGTGGACCAAGAGAGGCGCCGTTCGAGCTTCGAACTGGAGGAGAGTGGTGGGACTCTCGAACTCAACGGTAATGGAGGCAGCGCAGGCAGAGGGCGAGGGGCCATGATAAGCGAGGGGAGGAAAGTCCTGTCCAAAGATTGACGCCATACGCGCTTGTATATACGTGTGCTCGCTGAGTGGCTTTGTCAGAGTCAAAGGAAATCGGAGGACCCACCGCCTTTTGATCCCCACCGTCATCAGGACCCCTGAAAATACTGCCAAATGATAGATACTAAAATCAACGTTTTTCAGATTCTTGTCCGTAAGGTAGAGGAACTCCACACTCATCCAATGTCAGCTGACGTGACCTTGGTGTGACGGCTAAGTTTTGGCACACAATGTGACCAGTAGTCCCTGCCATAGATCACATGTCTGCAATTGACTCCAATGTCTTTTAACTATACTGTAACTAGCACTGCCCATATATTAAAATTCTGCTTCCGACATAATTTAACAGCTGCAGATTGGAAGATTTTCTTGGAGCCACATTTTGAAAAAGAGTGTTTTTGGAAATGTAGTATAGATTTCTTTCATTTGTCACACTTTGTCATGTGATGTTAGATGAATATGGAGTTCCTATACCTTACCAATTTTGGCGAAGTCTGTCCGGATTTTATCTGGCCTAGACCAAATTTGAAAAATTTGTCTGGACTTCGTATCTAGCCCATTCAGGGCCAAAATTTTCTCTGCAGCGCAAGGTTCGAACCACCGACCACACAGCTGACTGCAAACATTTTTCTGTTGCACTATGCAACCATATGTGTCCAATTAGTATCTAGCCTCTCATTATCCTTGAGAACCTGTCCAGATTTTGTATCTAGCATTTTGCTGATTTTTTCGAAAACTTGTCTGGTTTGTCTCTAGCCTAGCACCCCCATTTCGATTTTTTTTGTCCGGATCGGTATCTACCATTTAGCAGCATTTTCAGGGGTCCTCCATCATCTGAGTTCTTTTTTCCCATGCTTCATTCGGCTCTTGGAGGTCGTTGACCAGCTTGCACAGGCAGCGCTCCTGCTTCACTTGGGTCTGACGATCATGGAATTCGGCACGATTTCCTGCTGGAGAGGAGTGCCCCTTTGGTGAAGGGACTTCGAACTGGCACTAGCTGGGCTTGCTTCAAGTCCTGGTTCATTAGCACGCTGGAGAGGATGGAGGTGGATAGTCCACGAGGGTACCATTGTAATGTTGATGTTACAATAGTTACAATAGGAAATCCGTCTACATCTACTAAAGACTAAGGGTGACCCAAGAGCCAGCCTCGACCAAATCAACAAGCAGTATACTACCATTGCCTTGTACATTTGTTCATAGTGTTTGAAAGTCTGGTTCGGTCCAGTTTTTTGATGCCCAGGGGCATTAACCATAACCGTAACCAGTCTGCCTTTTCCCCAGAAGTCAAAAGACCAGACCAGACTGCAAAAAGACCGCAGACCACAGTTTTTTGCAGTCTATAGACTGGCTTTGGTCTGCATCGGTTTTAACCGGTTTATGACCGGTCTTTAGGCTAATATTTTAAAATTATGAATCGGTAAATTTATTAACATCTTTATTAGCTTCAAAACGAGCCCAAGAACGTCAAATTCCGTTAGGAATTGGTGCTTGTATAAAATAAGTCTGGTACATCTATTATTCCCAAAAGTAATTTACATTTTAATTCATATCTCTCTCGTTTTTTTACCAAATCGTACGTTCTTGGGTGCGTTTTAAAGGGTATTTAAGGGGTTACAAAAGACCGGTCCAAACCGGTCAAGAGCGGTTCACGTTAACCGGTTTTTTTGCGGTCTTTACATCTCAAAAATAAAAGACCGTAACCGCAGGTCTGGTCTTTTGCGGTCTTGGTCCGGTCTGGTTATGGTCTTTTTCCAGTCACGAGACCGGACTTCCAAACACTAATTGTTCAATACAGCCATCTTCCATTGATAGTCTCCAAATATCCTCCCAGCGAGCCTGATGGATGCTGTGTGCCAATCTGAGGATAAGTGTGACCTCAGTCTTCGATACTCCATTTCACCAATACCAGCCTCTCTTGACATCAACAGATCGAGGTTGGGTATTTGCCCTAGGTAAAAGAGGGAGCGATGAAGAGGCCAAACTACAACACTATCAGAGAAGAGCAACTTAGCTGTGGGCCATGATGGGCAGGGGTCAGGCTGGGGTTTGGTGGGTTTATAGGCATGTAGAGGGACATTTCGTGTAAATTTAGCAATTCTTTTCAAGGAAATCGGAGCAGAAATGAGGTATCTACACTATTGCCAAGTTTGAAGTCCATAGCTTGAATTTTAATGTCACAATGTGACAAACAATTGCCCAATCACTGTGTTACACCTTGTTTTTTGTTTCTAGACTATGTAGGTAAAGTTCAACTTTTCCGACATTGCCATCGCTGTGCAAAATAAATGTTCCGGCATGTAGTTTTGTCCCAGAAAACCACACTTTACTTTGATATCATCCATTCAGTCAATTGAGTTGAATGGGTGATGAATATCCCTAGATACCCAACTTGCCCATATTTACCCAAGTGGACAAATCATATCCTGAATACCCGTTTACATGAGAAAAGTTACAATTCACTCATTTCATACTGCCAAATATCTCATGTTGTCCCAGAGAAAATGGGTAATGTATATGTTACAAATGCATTGATAGCGGCAAAAGAAACATCAGAAAATCTTCACAAAAGTTGCCTCTTTCCCCACCACAACAATGAACTTCCTGCCCAATGCAATGTACGGAATGGCAATGACACCTGGTCATAGTGGGATTGCATCAGCACAGTCACAGAATGGAAACAGACAAGTTAGTCCCTTACAATTCAATTTTCCACCTCAAACCCCGAGTAGTGACATGGCAATGGCAAATGTTAACACATACAAGAACCTGAGCATCGGCCAGAAGAGGCCTCGCATGGATGTTGATCCTGCTTCTCAGGAGATGTGGCAGCCATGTCATGTTCCCCTTGTCAATGTAGATGGTTCCAGGGTGACTGACTTGAGTGACCTCCTTGCCGTTGTGTTCAGGAGGATGAAGAAAGCCGAAGCTGAATTGGCAGATCAAAGTGGGGTATATCAGCAGGTCTTGGCCCAAATAGATGTTCTTGAAAAGCAGATTGGAGAATTAGGGGCTGTAAAAGACTCTGAACCAAGTGGTGAACCTACCAAGAAGCAAAAAGAACCTCAGGACAGAGGGATCAGGGTGTGTTCTTCTCATGGTTTTGGTGTACACATCCTGACAATGTTGCCTTGTGAAATAGAATGATGTGCAATCTGTAATGAAGGGCTTGATTGGGGCCACAGAAATACACGTGGATTCAAAAAAATGCCTACCTCTACCCACTCCTTTACAACCGGGTGATCAGCCACACATTAGTGCAAATGGAGACCATTTGTTCAACCCAAATTGGTTGGTATCATCACCCCTCAAAAATGAATATAACAGTATCTTTATTGATGCTGTCGTGTCTACAGTGGTTGCAAATGAATTGGTGAGTAGATTGTTTGCACGCCTTGACAAGACATTCAACTCATGCAAACAAGGGCCAAGGTGCTCATAGCAAGATTGCTCCACAACATTTAGAAGGGGACTTCACCAAAATCAGGCTGGCAGCACATTCATATTTTGATACACTCATCAGAACCTACAAGAAGCAAGTTAATCCTGAGGCAATGGCTAAGGGAGAACAGAGAAAAGAGAAGGTCAAGATCATGGGACAAAAGAAAACAAAGTATACTCGATGATCAGGAGCAGTCCCCCTGTTTGAGGCACAACACAGGATTGAAGGGGTTGGTGTTCTGGTGGTGCAGGATTACATGCTGTCAGAAGATGAAAATTCCAGCAAGATTGAACTGTCAATTTGGCAGGAGAAGGCAGATTGTTATGTCCGACCAGGCCAAACCGCTGTTGAAGTTCATCGGGTTAGTTGGAGGAGTCCTCAGGTAAAATAAACACATTTGGATCTCACTAATTACTAATACTGAGGCTGCTTTCCTTCCAGGTTAATCGGATATACTATGCATTGGACAAGATCAGCTATGAAAACAAAGCAAAATCAGTACACACACGCTTTCATGGATTCAAAGGAAATGTGAATAATGACAAGCCTAAGAAATTGGTACCATCAGTGATGATCGATGCAGATTGGAAACGACGGACTGGTAATGAGAAAATGGTTATGCAGAATATGCAACTTTGTTTTGATCTCGACACCTTGTCATTCAGGACAGTGAGCTAGATGCTGATGATATTGCAGCATTGGAGGAGTGGGAGGCTGATGATGAAGCTGCAGATGATCAGGCAGAGGAAGCGGAAGCGGAAACAGGAGCATAGATCTACAGTATGTAAGATACAGAAGAGGCCCTAATCCTGAACAAATAATTGTTATTGGCTATTGATCTTGGAGTGGAGGCAGGACTGACCCGAACTCTAATTGTGGCTGTAGCCAGACATTCATTTATCTCAATGCTGTAGCAGGCTACATGGCCTTTGATATATTGAAGAGGCAGTAGAGGCAGCGGCCCTGGTTCAGAATTCAGCAAAAAGCTGTTATCATGCCAGATCTGAACCCCAAGACATGCACTACATTGAGAGAATGAGTATAAATGTGGTGAGAGAAATGATGTAAAAAAATACAATGAGTTCCAGATCGTGTTTCGTAAATCCATGTTGAGAGGCTGAAACCACTGGAAATAACCAATCATGAAGATGAACTGATCATCTTGGTTGATGTAAATGAGGTCCATAAGTTCGCCCACCCAACTGTCTCCACTAGGGAACTCTTCTTGTTTGCTGCTTGGTTAGAGGCATAATAATGGCGCTGGTTTACAATAGCATAATCAAAAAATGATGCTTTGTTTAGTAGTGGTATTGATGGTGCTGGGGCTGGAGTGAGGTATGACCACAGATGAAGGTTGGGAAACCACATTGAAAGGTACCTGAGAACAAGTGAGTAAAGATTGGGATCCAAAAATTTCTGTTCAAATCGAGGACTGAGTGAGTACGTGATTCCCTCTAAAAAGGTCTTGTTAGCTATGACCAATGGCATCTCATACTAATGTACCATCAAGACAAGTCCGATCAAGGTCATGTGTGAGTGCCTGCAAGGTACTGCGATCATCTGTGGTTGCAGTAAACATGACATCAACAGCATCACAAAAAATCTCAGGCTGGCCAGGTCGGGCAGAGCAGGCTACCTATGATGAATCTTATCAGAATGCAAACATGCAAGAAGGGATCAGAAGAAACCATTCGAGAAGTGTGGACCATTCTATGAAATTCTTGAAAGAATGTAACTTCAAGTTCACCCCCACTGTGGTTATTTGTTTTGTAGCTCTTGAGAATCTTGTTGAGCTGCTCGAAGAGGAAGGTCCAAAACCCATGCATGGGACCAAAATCACGGACACATTCCGCAGTGTGCATGGCGTAATGGTGGTTGGGCCACATTACATCAGGGCCATAAAGCTACAATGAAGAGAGGTGAGTAGAGTATAAGTGATCAAAAAATTGAACACTCACAGTGATTAGTTCCTGGCAGTAATCCTGTAGTAGGCTATCAGCCTCTTGTATTTGTTCTTCTGTTATCGCTCAGCCCATGAGAAGACAGAGTGCGAGGCATAGTTTCAGAAAGTTCGATGGATCATCAGGATGCAAACATGAAGGCAAATCTTCATCATCATCGTCTGACTCGACGTTGACACTGTCACCTACTGTTTGATGTTTCCGTTTGTTTGGTTTATCAACAGGTGGTCGGGATGGCATGTCAACAGGCTCTAGAGAGGCAGTTGCGTGTTGTATGGGCGATGAGACAGGTATGGTCACATTGGGCCTTGGGTTTCGTTCATGTTGCACCACTTCCTGGTGATGCTTCTTTTTCTCAGTGTTCGCCTTCTTTTTCGCAGCAGCCTTTTGCTTCTTCAGCTCTACTGTGTGGTTCTTCTTGTTGATTCAAGCCTTATTTGATGCTGCCTGTTGTTGCTGAGCAGTGTCAGGCTCTTGCATGTAATCGTGCCATATCTGAGGAATCTGGAACCAGTCAAGGTAAGACCTTGAGAAGTGCAGTCAATTACTCATGGCAATTGGGGCAACAATGGTAGCCATGAGCAGCCATGGTCAGCAGTCAAAGATCCACCAGCGGGAACACCCATAAGCGACGGCAAACAACCGAGATGTGCCGGCATGCTAAACTGAACTCATGCTGAGCCCCACATGCAACAACATATGGAAAAAACACACACTTCACTAAGGATATGGTGCAGCGCATGCAGCTCTTTCATCTTCCAGAGAATTTTGGCTTGTACCCAGATGTGATAGAAGTGAGTCTTGACGAGGCCTGTAGGAAATTTTAGCCTGACTGAAGGAACACGCAATGCATGAGTATCTATACCGAGAAGCAGGTTATGCATTGGATCAATAATGATCATGTGCACAGTGTCAAAATAAGGTAACTGCACAAACTTGCACCAACAAGCTGCCCAAACTTTTACAAATTCTTCGCAAGCAGTTTCCGTCTCTAGACCTGCATATTTCTCACCAGCCGCTCGATGCTCTTCATTGGTTCATGCTTGGAAACCTGTTTAACAATGTTATGATAAGCAAATTGTGTGTTCAAAGGTCTTGAGGACATACCATTTTTTACAAAAGCCTCAGGGGTTGATTTATCCTTCTGTTGTATCCAACAGTGTGTACAAAAAAATGTATGTGAGTGCACTCCAAAGCCTCCCAGCTTGTGCACTGCAGGTTTGTTACAGCAAATACAAATCAAAATAAGTTGAATTAATCGACCTTCAGGTGATGATGGCGTAACAATGTGGACACCATCTGTCCATAAGCGCAATAGCTCATTTATGATAATGTGTAAAAATTGCTGGCATTGATCTGGTGTCTGCTCCTTTGGCCCTGGCATAATGCTGCCTAAGAGCAAATTAGATGTGCGGTATCTAGTTGGTACTCAAATCAGTGTAGCTCATAGGGTGGGAAATCACATACTTCAAGTGAGGTTTTAGATTGGCAATGCTAAAGGAAAGGGGCCCTGATGTGTGACTAGGCGAGATTTGGCTATGTAGATAAGAGAACCTGTGAGATTGTTAGTAGGACAAATGAATGGTGAAGTAACTGACATATCAATCCACCCCAAGGCTCACTCTGATGTGAAGTTCACCATTTGGGCCCTTCTCATCACCTGGTTGATTTCGAAAGAAAGGACTTCCATCAGGTGCTGGTAAGCTTTTAGTTACTTCACCATCAAAGATGTCTCCCATCTTTCCTGGGGTACGAGGAAGTGCACCCCATGCATCTAGCTCTTCCTCCAGACCTGCAACAGAGAGAAGACTAACTAGTTGTGATTCTAAACTCTTGTACGGAAAGCGAAGAAGGGGAACACAGGGTCGTGTCTGAGTTCGAGTGTTTGGCAAAGCTGGTTTGAACAAAAATGCATTGCACGCGTGGCAATTTGAGGAGGTATTTGCATCAATGCTAATGGGATGAACCTTGAGGCACTCTGGGCATAAAGGAACTTGGAAGGATGTCAAAGACAGGCTCGACATCCAACTTTGACATGATGTGATTGAGAGTGGTGATCAGAGGTGGGTTGATGGTGTGGCCAAAGGCCCTGATGATAAGACCGACAACGTGAATAATCACTGTGCAGGCATGGACTGGGACATGAAACTGGAGGTGGAGCCATGTCACAAGCATGTAAAGCAGATAAACATCACCTTCTGGGTGAACATCAGATGGTTTCTGGCATAGCTGATCATGAGCGTCCTCCTGCACACAGAAGAACAGATCTGGGTTGTTCTCTGCAGCTTTCACCGCAGGAACATGAGTGGCAATCGGGATTGAAGGGAAGAGTTCGGCAGCTGGGAGGGACACTTGGGGATTATATGGGGAGTTGGTGCCAGGGTTGGTGTCAGCCTCAGGTTCTTCTCCTTCCTCCCAATTGTCATCAATGAAAGGCTCATACAGATGGTCTGGTTCCTCTGCTAATGCCTCGGAAATCAAAATGGCAGCGTGCTCCTCGACTGCATGGATTGCAGCACTCCTCCGAGCACTCAACAGAGTGCCAGGGGGTTGAGCTGTCAATTGTGGACTTAGACAATTGTGAGTGGGTGTGGCTGGCAGATCCAAAAGTATTTGAGGAGGTGTCAACACCCCATGAGTGTTTCCCATAGAGCTGTCGGCTATGGGAGGTTGTGGCGCAGCTGATGAGGTGCCTGACATAAGAGCACCCAACATCACTGACATCACAATCTTATCTCACACCAAATGGGCATGCCGTTCTTCTTGCAAGACATGCTTAATGCCACCACATTGAGTGCATTCACAAGGGACAGGACACTGTTTGGGAGCCTACAAATTTTCATCACTAAGCTTTGCAGAAAATCAAAAATGAAGAGACTTGCCAGTGGGAACCAGACGTTTATGATCAAAAGGGCTTGAAGTATTTAGATGGCAACAGCAATCTTCCACCACTGTTGCACTGTAGAACTTGAGCAACCTAGTTGTTGGGAGGACAAGACAGGAGTGGACAAGCAGTCGGTTATGACAGAATAAACAGTAGATGATGAGGATAGCTTTTATGCAAGCGGTCCTACCCTCCGAATCCTAGTACTCACTGGTGTTGCTCACAGCCAGATAAGTAATGGTAAACGGCCGGGTGCCTCAGGCAGACTGGAGAGGGTGGTGGAGAGCATGAATAAATATTCGTTTGTAATGAGTATGATGCTTATGCATTGAGCTCATCACACATGGTCACACAGTAAACAAAGTCCCCCAAAAGCTGTATGAAATAGGCTCAACCCACTTGTGAGATATTGACTGAGAAAGCACAGGGCAATTTGTATAGTAATTGAGTAGATGGTACATATTAATCTACATTTGGCGAAGACGAGGAGCACTAGTCTGGCTGGGTGACTGATTCAACAGCAATCAACGTTCTTGAGACTGCTCATAGGTGAATGCTGATGCCTGTGTCTTGTGTGAACATAAATTGCGCAGGGAAGTGGACCAGCTTGAAGTAAGTGAGGGTGACCTCCAGAGATGAGTATAGGATGGTCGCTGGTGCCAGAAACAAAAAGATTAATAACAGGCGACACCACGCAAACTACGACCATGACTCACCGACACAGCAAAGCACCAAGCAAGAATCCATTGTGACGACCTTTCATTCTCAGGTTGAGCTGCCAATATCATGAAAACTTCGACAATGTGTGTCCGTGGCTGCCTAAATGAACAAGGGTTGCTGATGAGGGTTACCCAATCTGGTGCATTGAGTTCGTCGCTGGTGCCTGTGTAGGAAGCAAGAATAATGGTTGGGCTTGTCCAGTGATAGGCTAGAAAACCTGAGGATGGACGCAGCTGCACAGTGAGGTACAGTGTGAATGTGCACAGGTCTTGAAATGGCTCTTCGATTTCACCCTATCAAATATGAAGTTAAACAGTCCTGCACCAGAAAATTACCCGCAAGTGGCCTGCCTGCACAGAACCCATCACCTGCAAGTGGCCTGCCTGCACAGAACCCATCACCCGCAAGTGGCTCAGATGCAAAGTCGAGCGAAGAGGCGATCCAGTTGTCCAGCGGGGATGGCAGGCCATAAGTGACTCGCCGATATTCAGCCTTCTGGGCAGGTGTGAGGCTGGTTCATTGATGAGGCTTTGCTGGCTCACGAACCTGCGATAATAGCAAGTTACGGCGACACTGGCAAATGCAAGTCAGTCTAACTGTCATGACTGTTATACGAAACTTATGTTGGACATTTGAGTTGAGGGTTGTTGAAACTAGTATATATGCTAGTGTCCTTCACACATGGAGAGGATGTCAAAAACTTATTTAAATATCCATATACCAGACAGTGGCTGGTTGGGGATGAAATCTGGCATAGACCTGGAGAGAAAAGGTAGGTTATGTGATGTGTCAATGTTGTGAGAGCAATGTTTTGTGACCTGTCAGACAGATGGATCTGAGGGAAATATGTCATAGACATCACAGTGAAAGCTAAGAAACATGCACAAGAAGTGGATGGGAAATTCTGAACACGATGACATTTCCTGAGAGCAAGATTTTTGGGTGTTGTCAACATTTCCGTTCTTTGTATGGGTGGGTAAATACAAAGAGACATGAGAAAGTAGATATTTCACACATAAACTGGAAACAGATTAAAGGTCCGAAATGCAGTGAATATGGCATGGGTTTGGCTTGATCAAAACCCGTGACACATCAAAATTCAAGCTGTGGACTTCAAACTAGTGTTGCCGCAGCTCGGCTAGCTGAGAGCCAGCTGATGTAAGCCAGCTAAATTTCCTTAAGTGGCTCAGCTCGGCTTTTAGCTGACTCAAAGCCGGCTCAAGCGGGCACATAATTCTCAAAGTGATGTGACTATAAATCTGGGTAAATTTGATGCTGTCTACCTGATAGATACACAATGTAATGTATATTTCTAGCATAGAACTATAATAGAAACCAAATAGAAACTCTAGGGTTTTGAAAATAAATAGAAATTCATAAAAAATAGGGGACAATGTGAGATAGCATAGAAATAGGAGCACATATGGATGTCATCTCTTCAGCTCCTTCAAATGCGACTAGAATACAATGTAAACAAGCCTTCAATGATGAAAAACGGTGGAAAGCTGACCAAGATACAGCTTAACTCTCCCCAAAACAGAATACTGAGTGGTTATGCTTGTAGAGCCTCCAGAAAATGGTCATTTTGTGCTATTTTGGTCATTTTTGGCCTGTTCTAGACAAAACAAGCCATTTTCCAAAGCCTCTACAGACCTAACCACTCAGTATTTTTGATTGATTCTTTGATAGGCTCATTCAGGTTGACCAGAGGTATGTTCTGGCTACCTCCCCAGTTAGTGCATATTTTTTTTTTCAGATGCCAAAAATGGCCTCCAGAATAAAAACCTTCTCAAGGCTCCAGCTTTCACTGAAATTAGTCTATACCAAGAGAAGTGTAATACAGCTACATAATGTAAAAGAATACACAAATACATTTGAAGTACAATAGATTTAGAAAGAACCAGAAAAAGGAACCAACCTTCATTCTTTTTGCACTCAACTGTACATTAGAATAACTGAAAGTGGTTATGGTGAGTTTTACAAGTGTTCAGATTACCTTCAACATTATCGTCAGGATCCTGGAGTTCAGTTAAAGTCTCAGCACTTGACAACAGAAATACATTCACATACACCAATGGAGGAGGTTTCTATACAGCCACCAGAATGATGAAATGCACCCCCCCCCTTACTCACTCACTAAAACACTTTTGGACCTCAATTTTTTGAATTCAGCAAGGTCTAATTCTTCAGAAATGGACCCTCAGTATTTTGTCCACATCCTGCCGCCCCCTTGAGACCAGGTCACCATTTTTTTCCAGCCTTTGGTGGGACTCCCAGCCATGTTTGGGATCCATGTTCCACTGAGGACATCTGGGATTTGGAAATCCCAGCAGTCTGGCAGATTGGTGGATCCAGCACACAAACTTGTATTATCACCAGGCAGCCTCCCCTTATTATGCAGAAGGTTATTCATCATAGTTCATATATAATTAAGGATTTTCTCCTCATCTTCATTGTGGTTGCCCACCATGAGAACAATCTTCTTTGAGCTGGTGGCATGACCTTGCAGTGGTGTTGATATTGGGTGGTCTTCTCCTCCATCAGCTATATAGGTACAACTATTGGGTACATAGCAAAAGCTCATTTGCATTTTTGACAAGAAATTCATTTTCTATAAATAATAAAATCAGTGAGTTTGTTGGTAGTAAAAGCTCATTTACAAGATCCATTCTATAAATAACAAAATTGGTGAGTTGGTCACTGACATACACCCCACTCCACCCTCAGAAATATCCCCTTGTCAACATTGCAGCCATCCATCAATGTCAAGTCAATGTTACTATGGTTGTCCATTAGTACCAGAGTTTTTAAATGTGTTTCATAGCCTTAAACTTAAAGCTTATGCATATTCCACATCAAATTTGTGTTTATCAAAATTTCATCCCCCCATTGTCATTGTCATGGTCATGGTTGTTCACACATTCACAATTGTGTACTTCTTGCTAGGGAAGCACAGAGGCACTCAGCAGTGCATCATCATTGATACTGAAATTATCTGCATTGCTGACAAACCCATCCACCAGACAGCGGATGTGTGGAAATTCCAAATCTGAGATTCTTTGGTTCCACCACCCCCTTGGAACAGACCTTATATCATTACAAATTGACTATCATTTGCAATAACTAAGGTCTGTACAAGAGACTAGTGGCTTGCTATCAGCATCATGTAGATAATTCTATACTCTAATCAATTTTACTGTTGGGCCTTCAAATGACTGGTGTACTGATCCTGGATTCCTAGAAAAATTCTCAGTACCCAAAAAATGGTTAAAATGCCACTTTACAGTCATTCACTGGTCAATGAGGCACCCAAATAAAGAATGGCCTTGGAAATTTTAAATACAAGGGATATGAACATTATGAACTGAGAGAAGTATGCACATACATTGTGCCCTATGTAATATCTAGTTACAAACTCAAATTCAAGTTGTTGAACAACATATCACATGCTATCAGTGCTGCAAACAAAGATCAGTGTGAAACCAGTCAATGAGGCAGATGTCACACTGCCCTAATTTGGGCATTTTGCTTAGTCACTTCAGTTTCCCATCTCTTTGTCAGATGTCTGTGGCAAGTGTGACAGAATGTGACCTTCCCTACCTTCAAGTATGATTTCATTCATTCAGTGGTTTTTGGTTCACTGGAGTACCAGCTCAACTCAAAACTCTTGTAATTGAATACTTGTTGAATGCTTTAAGAAATCATTTTTTTTAAAAGGTTCTTTTCTGAGATGTAGTGCCAAGATCACACAGATATATATTCAGTTTTATGGTGAATGAGCACCTATTTGCAGGTATCAAGAGATCGAAATATACTACACCTTAGAAATTTGGGATTACTATGAAGAATATATATGCACACACAATGCAAAAAAAAAAATTAAAGAAATAGCTTGAGAACTGACCCTGGGAAAGTGTTTTGACTCATTGACTAGTGTGACTCATTGACTGGTGAATGGCTGTAACTGGTCTAATTACTGTTCAACTACAAAGTACTTTCATATCAGATTCAAATAACTTGTACTTATCCATTGGTGACTTCAAGCTAATCCAAAATTAACCAGAGGCAAGAGCTGAGAATCATATTGAAATGGGGTAATTTCAGGTACTTTGCTCAGATCAGTAATTTGACTTGATTTACTTGGTTTTACTTGTACTATCATAAAATCTTCTGAGTATCCTTATATAATGGGCCCAAACAACAGCTAGTATCATTTGCACCCATTTTGCATTCATTTATCTGTGGTTTTTGAGGTGTAGGTGTGGTGCATGGGTGGGTGTGGACTGGTGGTGCTAAAGTGAGTTGAACAACAAATCAGCCATCATTTGTTGCCAGACTGAGGTTCAGTCTGGTTTGGTCCTATGTTTTTTTGAATTTTGTTTCAGTCCCATAAACCTAGTTCCCTTTGAATTGCAGAAATTATTGGACTCAAAAGGTTATATTAGAAAAGCCTTCCCAGAATTCCACATTACATATACTTTGAGTAGCTGAAAATGTATTGACAATCCCACAGACCCAAAAGAATAGCCAATCTTGAGTTTCATATGTAAGTTAAAATTATAAAGGAGAACAATATGACCTTTTTTAGCCAGTCAATTGAGGTGAGATTGAGTAATAAGTACTCTCTTGTGTCAATTTCCAGTTCTAGTATTGTATATTGTGAGTATATTGGACATTTTAGTAGCACTCAAGCATAAATACGTACCCGCTGAGGATTCATGAGAGAATATAAACAAATTTTGCTATCTCAAGTCAAGATTAATTGAAAAAAACTTGCCCACTATCATATAATTGTCAGCAAGCTATCAAACAAAGAAAGCAACAGTGCAACTCACTTGCTAAAATGAGAAAAGGTTCATTGAAGTTCTATAGTTTTAGAAAGACAACAAACAATCTGAAGAGCCATGATTAATCACAGGCAGATAAAATAGATAAAAAAAATATAACATACAATCTATGATATAGCATTGAGCATATCTATGATGCAAGAAAGATGATGGACCTACAATCTGATTGGATAGCTCATTTAGAAATGCTTGTCAATAAATAATTGCTAGCTATACCTCCTGAAAAATAGATTTAGATTTTATAAGATTGTCTATCATATACATTACCTGAAATTCAAAGCCCATATAGTTTAATAATTGAGTATACTGCTAAGTATAGCAATGGGAAGCCCACTTTCTGAAGCAAAATGTAGTGACCTCTTTTTACATTAATGGGAGTCCACTTACTGGCTTGAATAAAATTTTTAAACATGTAAAAACTAAAATTTAAAATGAATTCTCACAATCTAAGCAAAGGTCAAGTATCAAATATGGAACTGATAAAAATTTGACTTACACCCTAAAAAAAGAGTCACCATTAAATACTTTGAATTTCTCAGAGTAAATTTCTCACATTCTCATAGAAAAGATGAGCTATTTATTATAGAGGAATAAATGAAGGGATACTCACATGCTGTAAACAGATTATTTATATATCAATAAAATTATTATTTAACTTGCCCACTAAAATGGTCTGTAATTAGAAGATGTACAAAGATAAAAAGGGGTTGCCACTTACACTCTGTAGAGAAATACAAGTCAAAGACTTCTCTGAGATAAAGAATTGATAGATATGAAGGCCTACAGGCTATAAGTTAATAGAAAATGGTTTGAGAATATAGAAGCATGTAGTAGAGTCCACCCACAGTCTGAAAACCTGGAATCAGAATAATTATATTTGAAGCAAAGATTACATACAATCTATTGCAGAAAAAGAAATTATTATTGAAATGTTCAACTTGCATGTTCAATGACTTACAGGCTAAAATATGTACTTAATTAGTGAGCCATTGCATCACAAAAGAGAATAACTTACTCCCTAGTTCCAAGAAGAAATATCAAGAATAATGACAGTGCAACAATAAACAGATTACTGACAATCTGCAAAATGATCAGAAAGACTTATTGTTGAAATGTAAGACTGTAACATACCCACTAAGTAAAATATTTGTTAACATCATCTTGAACAATTTTTTCTTCTTACATTCTAATGCATAGAATGAATTAGATATAAGTGAAGATGCCATAGAAAGTGTCCTACATTCTATCAGAAAACATTCATTTAGTAGTGTTCAAAGCCATTTAAATATGATACTTGCCCACTGTGGAAAATAAAGTTAGATGCTTCAGTTATATTTTGATGGTATCTTCTCACATTCTAAACAAATCAATATGTCAAATTTATACTAACAATTCAGCACATATCAGACCTGCTATAATTCCAAAAAACTTTGGTTATATAATAATAGAAAGAGAAGGACAAGTTACCATCTTGAAAAGTATGGTCAGTGATGGCTCAAATGGCTTATCATATTTCATACCTCCTAGGAAACAGTCAAAGAAGTCAGAATTACAACTGAAAAATCTTTCCATTCTCGAGACTTTTTTAAAAAAATTCTTACTTTCTGTAAGACCCTTTCATTAGCCATTCTAAATAAAATTTGTACAAGCCATACCTTTGTGATTTCTAAAACTGGCCATATACATGCTTTTTTGCCAGCTCCAGCAAACTTTTCTTCCTGGTAGAATATTCAATTATTGGAACAATATTTAGATATCAGTGGCTAACCTGAAAACAAGATAACACAGCTTCCAAGTCTTGTACAACACTTTTTCTAGTGTCTCTGTTACAGTTTAAAATGGTGTTGAACCAGCTTTCTATATTTTTAGACATCAGTAAATTCACAAGATTAACCAGAGAACTAAAATTTGTCTCAGATAAGTCTTGTCTCTGTTCTCCAAATGCCTGGCAAATGTGATGGAGCCAATGACAGCAGGCATATCTTTGTCCAGCCGTGTCAAAGAAATTTTGTTCGACATCATTTGTAAGACACCGCAAACAGTCAATAGCAAGGAGGGCATGCTGGATGGAAGGATTGATATAATAACTTTCTGACCGAGCTTGACTGGTCAAAAAATCTCGAAGTGAGGTGTGAAAAAGTAGGATTGGCTGGTCATCATCTCCTGGAATAAGAAGGAGAGATTGAACAGCAAGCAATTCATGGATGATTTCCCTGGATTGAAACCCAAGTAGCTTGCTTATTGCTGTGATGGATTGATTTTCCACAAGGATCATGGTAGTTCCAAGAATGTGGTGGAAGCTGGGTGTAAGGGAAACCTCACTTAGGACCTGTTTGTACAACGGATCAAGACCCACGACGTCTGACTGTAAAACCAGCTTCAAGTCCCTATCTGGAAACTCACTAGCCTCAATCCAGGAAATCAAAGTAGTAGCAAACATAAATGAGCCACCAGCCTTAGAGAGCAGGAGGTTTAGATCTGATGGGGATGGCCAAGGCTGAGGAAGGCCCCTCATGATAGGGAAATTCTGTTGATATACATTGTTGAACCTTTTCTGAAAATATGCTTGAATATCAGGACGAGCATCAAAGTCTACCAGCTCTAGACGGTAGATGCTCGTTGAAGCCCTAGGATGGTCAAATTTTCGCCGGATATGTTCCTCCACACGACTAGTGAGCAGGATACGTATCAAAGGAAATCTCTTTCCAGCCATCGCGATGATAGCAGTAATGAATTCTCCCATTTGGAATTTGTCATCGCATTCGTCAAGGGCATCGATGACAATAATGTTTGCTTTTGTAGTGGACAAGAAGGCAGTAAGCCCACTTGATGCCGCAAGGAGTGGCTCAATGACGAGCTTTTGAAACTGATGAGTGAGTGAAGTTGAAAGGATAAATGGTTCTTCGTCAAGGACCTTCTCGATCACAGTCTTGGAAGTTGGAATGGAGACAGAGATGTGGTAGGCGAGGGTCGGAATGAGGCGATCGATACGACTGCGTGCGCCAGCACCCCGGAGAAAGAAAAAGCTGGCAGCGAGCCTGCTGTTTTCGGCGCATAACTCAGCGATAGTCTGCGATAACGCAGACTTCCCGTAACCAGCTGGACCGTTGAGCCAGCATACAGAAGGAGCATCCCGACTCTTGGTGTCAACCCACTTCTTTATAGTGTCGATCAGCGTGACTCGTGTTCCAGGATCGCATCGGGCGACTTGACCTCCGCGAGTGTAGCCAGCATCTTCTACGGGCCTAAGTTGCTCATACAATCCTAAAGAGCGTCAGAAACAACGATGCTGCAATGTTCGAGCTCACCATTGAGAGCGGCGGAATTACTGTGGAAATGTGCATCCCCACCAACATCGAAGAAAGTTGGATCCCCTGGGAAAGTCATACCAGTGGCGTTGGAGAAGATTGGCATCGCACAGTCAATATGTCGTGGTGGGCTGGTGGATTGTAGATGATCACAAAGTTCAAGTCACAGGTGTAACTTCGCCGTTTGAGTGTCACATAGCTGGCGCTCCTAAATTTCCATATCCAAGATGATTGCACACCCGATAAATTTCTCGTCCTTACAAGAAGATATATATGCAACACGAAATTGAACCTGCCGCCTTTAAACAATCACAACAGGAGTATAAATGCCACAATGTAAATGACGGTTCGGAAGAGCGGGAAGCGAATCGCGATGGCCAGCCCTGAGAGGATAAGAGAAGAGGTATCGATAAGTACCTCTTCTCTTGTCGAACTTTTGCTGACTACAAAAGGTTTCAGCGCGTGCATCTGAGGAGCGTAGGGAACAGGTAACGTACATGAGTTTGGAGGAAAGACTGTACGCATTAAAACACTCCACAATGTTACGACCTGAATGCATAGTCCCGCAACCCCAAATGTGTTTCATGTCCCCCTGAAATAGCTTTGGACGAGGACGATACTGAGGCTGGGATGCATGCATAAGGTATCGTCCACCAATCCGATTGCCCGCGCTACTGGGAGAGTAGACCGAAAGCGCAGCATTAATATTGCATCCAGACTTCGCGAATTTCCATGTGCTTTGTCATCGAACTTGTAGACGAGGAGCTAGCAACCTGGAAGGGTAATGAGGTACGACTGGATGTCCTCTCAGCTGGAAAAAACCGACCCACCTTGAACCATGAAAATTTTGCTTTTCGGTGCACAGAAGGCCCGTCCTTTCTGTCGCATCTTTTTCCGAGTCGTCGGGAAAGATTTTAGAGCGAGTTTCTGATCATTTTCAACCTCCCACATACTGCGCAGTCTTGGTCTGAGTTCGCGAGGCATCGTAGTTGCATCGTAGGACATCTTCACGTGGAGAGGAGAGGAGAAGCCAAGTGGGATTCTAGGAAGAACTCCTTGACCCTGTTAAAAAGGTTCGAAAAAGGGTTGGGTATCGCGGCAACGGTGGTAAGCAAAGCTATCTTGAACCTGGAGATTGAAATTGCGGGAGCTGCGCGCAGGTACAAATTCCCACTGAATCAAGAGTCGAGCCTGGTACCTTTCTATCACCGTAGCAAGACAAATGTCAGAAAGATCGATCAAGACTCCCAGGAATCACCTGGCTGGAGCGTTGAGAAGGAGTAGAATAACCGTCGTGGACAAAGAAGCCCATGATCCTGAGCTTGAGAATTGCCATTGAAATAAGGCCTTGAGGCCACCAAGTCTCATAGGCCAGCCTGTCGTATGCTTGAGAAATGATTTTTTTTACTTCACGATAAGTAGAGTACTCACTGGCGATGCCCCTCATAGGACTTTGTAGAAAGCATTTGATTGACAGCAAAATCACATCTGAGCGCTGAGTCTCTAGAGCTGACTAGAGCTGAGTTCTGAGTTCTTCCGAGGCGATCCTTCAATTATGACATGTCAAAATTCTTCTCCTTCCGACATTCCGCGTCCGAAGATTCCCCGCAGCATCGCAGGTTATCGCTTTTATAACTGGGATGCCTCAAGGCGACGTCGACGCAGCAGCCTCAGGAAATGGCAAAGTTGCTCCTCATGGTAACATGGACCAAATGGGGAAAGTCTGTGAAAGATTCAGATGATCAGGACGGACTGTTTAAATCCGTTCTGTCACCAGATGGCGAAGTCTGCTTCCGATATCCCTGTAACGAAAACAACCGTTGGAAAAGTCCTCTACTTCACTAACAACGACGACGACGAAGGGTTTCACGCACCTATGTGATGTTTTCGCCACTCCCACCCGCGCTCTTCCTTTTACTGCTATCTATGCTGATGGGGCCTACAACTGCCCAAGATCAAGTGAGAGCGGCTTCCTTGGCATGAAGGCTATTGACGTGCATGACTAATTCTGACTTTTCCCAACCTATCATAGACTGCAAGATGGGATGTGGTGGGTCCTTACTGTTAGACTACTCCGCTCTTCGTGGACAATGACCGGTTCAGCTGAAAGGGACGAAGGACGAATCGTCGTGCGACCTCCAGAACCAGCTTAGTGCGTTCTGTGAGTATCAAAGCGCTAGAGGTGAGTTCTTGATGAATATCAATCCTGAGGCTTCTCTGACCTCTTCCTCATAGATTACACGGGTATACGTAGGCGAGCAACGAACGGTACTGCTCCATCGAAATGTACATGGTGAGTGGGATTCCTGACTAGATATCTTCCCCCTAACGATCTTCATTAGCAACCCAGTCTTTTTCAACATATGGAGCGCATGTTCATATTCAAGCGGCAACAACACACTGCCTATCTACAGCTCCTGGACAGCCCAATGCCAATCAAATTCTGTTAGCGTTAGTGGGAGTGCTCAGTGGGTCTTGTCACCCTCGGGAGTTGGACCCGGGATGGATTTTCCGGGATGGGCAAAACTGTCTGTACCAGGCAATGGAACTTTTGACATGATGCGAGCGGTATCTGGTGAGTCCGGTGCATAATAAATTCTTTCTTCATCTAAGCGATGAACAGTGGCCATCGCACGTCCACGTACGCCCGCCAAAATCATCATGATCTCAGTGGTTGTGGGAGTGATCAGCGGCCTCCTCATCGTCGTTCTGTTCTTCGGCTGGCAGCGTCGGAAAACTGTAACGCGAAAATCCACTTTCCAGAAACTGCGGTACCCAATTTGGACGCGCAGGCTGCGGAGCGTTCAGCAGGAAGAACCAAAGAGTGATTGGACTATAGATCGCGCTGAGGAGCCTCCACAACCACAAGAAGAGGAGTTTGTTTTCGTGCATCCCCAGTCGCCCACGTCGCCCACGTCGCCCTTGTCTTTGCATGACGAACCGTTGAGATCGCGCTGGTCCGACTCGATCCATGCGCCTCCTTCTATCATGGATAACCGACGACCGCTCCGGAGTGTTTGGAGCGAAAACATTGCTAGGAGGGTCAAGGCTGTTCCTGGGCTTATTTCTAAACCGTGGAAACCACGCCCGATCCGCGTCACGGCTGTTCCTGCCCGTAGAGGCTTCCGTGTGGACACCAACGACAGGACATTTGGGCTCGTGTCTCCGGGTTATACGCCTACGAGTGCTCATCCCAGCCGACTTCATGAAACTATTCATGAGGATGACGAGGAGCAGGGTCTTGATGCTGATGGCCATCAACGCCAGCAATCGATTCATGATGTAGACGATGATGAGCGCATGACGCTTATTTCTGATCATGACAGGACTGACAATGATGTGTTTTTGATTTCGAGGAATGGCACGGATTTCAACACGTTGGGAAGTACTCCCACATACTCGAATATACTGGTTGTCAGTCCAAGTGATTACGGACACGTACCACAGCAGAATCAGCGCAGTAAAAAAGTATGTTTGAGGTTTATTCTCTAGGATCTGAACCTGATCTTGTTTCCAGCCTCAGGTACCTCCCCCTTTACACTCACCCCCTGCAAATACACGCACAGTATATACACCCCATTCCAACGGAGCTGGACCATCCTATTCATCAGCCTTGCGTCCCATAGCACTCGAACGATCACAATCGAATCTTCCGCGACCTCCTGCTATAGCTCGTCAAACCTCAGCAGAACAACCACACCACCGAGCTCCTTCTCTGCACGACTCCATAGACATCGATTTCGAAGCCGCATCTATATCACGTCGGTCGTCAAACCAAAGTTTTCGCGCTCCAGCACTACAGCATCAACGCTCGATATCCCAATCCGGCTTGGTCGGCATCGACGAAGTGTACCACGATCCGTATGCACCAACCAACCATCGGAGGGGGCTCTCAGCGGACGACGCGGCTTCGTTTTACCTCACGCCAGAGAACGCGGCGTATCCCCCACATCAGCTATCTGTTGAAAATCTCATTCCTCGCCGTACGGATCCTGTGATGCTTTTCCCTGGATCTGTAAGAGGGGCGGGGTATGGAACTACGCCTGATGCGTATCCAAAACCACTGCCTAGTCTCCAGCCTAACAGACGAGGAAATATTTCATGATATCTTGGACATTATTGCTATTTACGACTTTTATTACCACTCACGGACGGTTGTGCATCTCTTTTTTTTTTTTTGGAATTACTTACATGGATGTAGATGGACGCGCTAATTACACGATACTTGGCTTGATCCTCGTGTAGAGCTTGTGTCCTTGGATAAATGATCTGCAACGTGTTTCTTGGTTAGAAGGTTGTGGAACTCTCTCGAATAGATCGGAAAAGGAAATAGCCCAGCCACAATTGGCCCATATACGGCACACCAAGAGCACACAAGGATTCTTTTCGATCATAGACTTTTCTTGCATATAAAGGTCATCTCGACATCTACTACCCAATAATTGCTCGTCACTATCCCTTTTTTTCTCCTTAACGTTCTCTATCACTATCATGGCCGTCGTTGGTATCGATTTTGGTACTCTCCATAGCAAGGTCCGTTATCTTCAAGCTGATTTTACAACTTTTTTTTATACTCATTTTTTAAAAAGATCGGTGTCGCTAGACATCGCGGGATAGATATAATCACGAATGAAGTGTCTAATCGTCAAACTCCGTGCGTTTTTGAGTTCTATTGGATACGATTTTGACTGCTAAAAACGTGGATTGCAGATCTCTCGTCGCCTTTGGGCCAAAACAGCGTTCCATCGGTGAGCCTGCAAAGACCCAGGAGACATCCAACTTTAAGAACACCGTCGGATCCCTCAAACGGCTGGTCGGACGGACATTGAACGACCCACAAGTGCAGGATGTCGAGAAAAAGTTTATCAATGCTAAATTGGTCGATGTGAACGGGACTGTTGGTACCGAGGTCCGTCTTTTATATACATTCCGCCCCCAATGGAGTCTTTTGCTGATGTCGAGGTCCAGGTCACTTATCTCGGTGAAAAAGCCACCTTCTCGTATACGCAGCTTGTCGCGATGTATTTCGGCAAGCTGCGCGATACGGCTGCCAATGAACTCAAGACCGGCGTCACCGATGTCGTGATCGCCGTGCCGGGATGGTATACCGACGTCCAGCGTCGTGCGGTTCTAGATTCTGCATCCATTGCAGGACTTAATACCCTCCGACTCATCAACGACACCACTGCCACTGCCCTCGGATATGGAATCACAAAGTCCGATCTCCCAGAAGCAGAGAACCCTCGCCATGTTATCTTTGTTGACGTTGGCCATGCTGGATTGTCGGTTGCCGTTGTTGCCTTTTCCAAAGGCCAACTTGTCGTCAAGAGCACGGCCTATGACCGTAATCTTGGTGGTCGTGACATTGACTATGCCTTGGTCCAGCACTTTGCACAAGAGTTCACGGCCAAGTACAAGATCGATGTTATGTCGAGTCCCAAGGCCATCTTCCGGCTTTCAGCTGGTTGTGAGAAGCTCAAGAAAGTTCTGTCCGCCAATAGCGAATCGCCTCTGAATGTCGAGTCCATCGTGACCGACGTTGATGCTTCATCCAAACTCTCCCGCGAACAGCTCGAAGAGTTCATTGCCCCCGTTACCGATCGCATCATCGCCCCCCTTCAGCGCGCTCTCGCAGACTCTGGCCTCACCTTGGACCAGATTGACGCGATCGAGCTCATCGGTGGCACCACCCGTGTCCCCGCCGTCCGCCAACGTATCCAAGAAGCTTTCCCTGGTAAATTCCTTTCCACCACCCTCAACCAGGACGAGGCCATTGCCCGCGGAGCCACTTTTGCCTGCGCCATGCTCTCCCCCGTCTTCCGCGTCCGCGACTTCCATGTGTCCGACATTAACCACTTCCCCATCAAAGTCCAATGGACCGCCACACCCACCGATCCAGACGACGACACGGAACTCGTCGTGTTCCCCCAGGGCAACAGCATTCCTTCGACCAAGGTGCTCTCGTTCTACCGCAAGGAGCCTTTCAACATTGAGTCTGTTTATGCGCAGCCTGAGCTTCTTCCTGGTGGGATCAGTCCATGGATTGCCAATTTTACTGCCAAGGAGGTGCCTCCTACAGCTAATGGTGACGCTACCTGCGTGAAGCTGAAGACGAGGTTGAACCTCCATGGTGTTATGTCATTCGCGGGTGCGTATGTTGAGGAAGTCGAGGAGAAGGAGGAGGCTATGGACGTGGACGCTCCTGCTGAGGGCGCTGCTCCCCCCAAGAAGAAGAGGATTGTGAAGAAGACGGAGATTCCGTTCGTTGCTACCAACACTTCTTTGGACAAGTCGGTTGTGGAAGCGCTCCGGGAGCAGGAGAACCAGATGCACGCTGCTGATAAGCTTGTGTATGATACCGAGGTAAGTTCCGACTTTTTCTCTTCGCTTTGGTTGTATATATTAATTGGCTTTTTAGGATCGCAAAAACGCTCTTGAGGAGTACGTCTATGACACGCGAAGCAAGCTCGATGACCGTTATGCTCCATACGTTCAAGCAGAAGAGAAATCCAAGCTCCTCGTCGCACTCAAAGAAGCCGAGGACTGGCTGTACACCGAAGAAGGCGAAGAAGCCACTAAATCCGCCTACGTCACCCGGCTCGACGCACTCAAAGTCCTCGGCGACCCCATCACCTTCCGCTACAAGGAATCCGACGACCGCCTAAAAGCCATCGCACAGCTGCGCGAGACACTAAACAACTACATGTCCCAAGCCACCTCATCCGACGAAAAGTTGGCGCACATTGACGAAAAGGACAAGCAAGCCGTCGTCGAAAAGGTGGCGACTGTGCAAAAGTGGCTCGAGGACCAGAATATCAGGCAATCTGAGAGGCCGAAGAATGTTGATCCTGTTTTGACGAGCGCGGAGATTGGGAAGAAGAGGGATGAGGTTATTTATTTCGCTACTCCCATCTTGACAAAGCCGAAGCCGAAGCCGCCTGTGGTTCCTCCTACTACGTCGGGTACGCAGACCCCTAAGAGTGGGGCGGAGACGCCTGCTAAGGAGGGTGCTACTTCCCCTCCTCAGGAGGAGGAGGACGGCCCAAGTGTTATCGAGATGGATGTAGATTAAGTGCACGTGAATTGGTTGGTTAATGTAGCAATGGATAACGCAGATACATATTACATGTTCAATTAGATTTTTTTCTCTCTTCGTTTCCTGAGTACTCCGTCGTTCCCCAGCCACTGTCGTCGTTATTCTGACTCCTGAGGAAGATACGTCAGCCTCTCCGTTTGGTTCTGGGACAAAAAACTTACCTCGCCGCAAGGCTCCTCACGCACTCCTTCCGCAGACCGAAATAAGGAGAGGGATCGGGTAGGCAAGAGCTCTGCAAAACGAGTAAGTCAATCCGTCTTCCGTTGATGCAAGAGACGATTCACTCAATGTGATTAGTGCCTAACCTGCTCTCCACGTCATCACGCGTACTCAACGTTCAACACCATCGACCACGACAAAAGCACACTCGACGTCGGGAGGTCGGCAATCCAAGAGATAGTCGAGGACATAGACGTGGAGTGGGGGCTACAACATGTGCGTGAGATTCGATTAATGATGGGAGACGCAATGGAAAGCTTACTCGATGTCAGAGGCACACCGTGGTTGTTTGATGTTTCCTCTACCCATAAGTGAACATGTGATGCCATCGACAGGAGAAACGACTTACCCAACGTCCGTTGAACGGTCGTCCTCTTCAAATCTGGCGACTTCTCCGCGTCATCGCGGAGATCATCGACCACATCCGCCTATGTCTCCTCAGAATGCTCAGGAACCTCCACACTGCTCGACGGCCCGAAAATGTCGGGTGTTCCCCGCCAGTCCCGCTACAAGTAATCTACCCTCAATGTCATCACGCATGCCCCGCTGAGCAACACACAAACATGCTCGACGCCTGACGCGCGGGGTCAGTAATGCAAGAGATAGACAAGTAGTTGAGATTGGGGGTGTGCAGTGGGAGCTACAAAAAGTTGGTGATATTCATTTGAGACGCGACAAAGGACTTGCTCGACCTTAGAGCCAAGCTAGTAACACGTAGAAATTGACTGATCTCGTCATTCACGAGTGATATTCGATGCTAGACGTGTGGCTGAGGTCGATTCTGCGCAAAGCCCATGTTATATAAAGTATAGAATGCCAAAGATATCACTTACGCGATAGTACATCGTTTCATGGCTCCTCCGCTGCAGAGAGTGTCGTAGTGCTGGGCTAGAACGATGTAGAATGTCTTCAAAGCAAAAGACGACTCGCTGAGTGTGCTACTGCAGTGACAGTCAAGTGACAGTCAGTCAACGGATTTGGCTCAGTTGCACCCGTCGTCGACAAAGCCCGTGGGACGTTGTGATAACGAACAGAGCGCTCGGCAACTTTCAACTCCTCCCCTGACCACAACCATCGTCTCACCAGATACACAATGTTTGATCACTCAAAATCCGTCGTCGTCAGTGGTGGCTCTATAACTCAAGTCCATGGAAATTCATATGGCAAGCTTTCAATCTAAAAGGGGGTAGTTTGCTCACTCCGCATAGAAACTTCCGTCACAAATATCAATAATACGTTTTCGTCGATTGATGATGGTAAGAGCCATTGATTTTCCATCTCATGATAATAGTTCTCAATGACAGGTTTCAGGCCTCCATGAAAAGGGCCTCAAGACTCTTCACACCAAGATTGCCGCTGGCGCAATGCACGACTCCAAGGAACGTTACGACGCCCCGAAATGCCACCAGGACACACGGAAAGCCGTTATCAAGGACATATCAAGCTGGGTCGTAGATGATTCAAAGGATTCTCTGATCCTTTGGCTTAGCGCTCCAGCTGGCTCTGGGAAGTCAGCCATCTTGCAGAAGATAGCGGAACTTTTTCAAGGCTCTGGGGGACTCGCCGCTAGCTTCTTTTTTTCACGCACGGCGGGTGAAAGGCAAACGGAGGCTCGCTTGATCGCCACTATTGCCGCCCAGTTGGCGGTCACTATCCCAACAACCAGGCTTTTCATTAGCCAAGCCGTGCTTAATGACTTGTCCATATTTGACAAGACGTTGCATGTGCAGATGACACGCCTCGTCATCCAACCTTTAATCTGTGCTTCTCTTCGGGCAGGAAGAAGCTCCCCATGGCCATCATTGCTCGTAATCGACGGTCTTGACGAATGCAGTGATGGAAAAGTCCAGGCTGCTATTTTACGCATGCTCAACCAAGCCCTTTTGCAACTCAAACACTCCTTACCCTCACTATGCTTTCTCATCGCCAGCCGACCAGAACCCGCCATTTGTGAGGTTTTTGAACATGAGCTCAATGAAACAACCTATCATCTTGTTCTTGATGACTCATATGATCCCGATCGGGACATAGCAACGTTTCTTCGAAGTAGTTTTTCAGATGTTCGTCGTCGCGGGCATACCCGCTTTCCCTCTATGTCGTCCCTCCCACTTCCATGGCCTTCAGAAGACGTGATTTCTTTTCTCGTCGAAAAGTCATCCGGCCAATTTATCTTTGCAGCGACGGTGATCAGATTCGTCGATCAGGATCGTAGGTTTCCTCCCGATCAACTCAAGATTGTTTTGGATTTATGTAAATCACGCGATGCATCTCGACACAAGACCAACCCCTTCGCTCTTCTTGATCAATTGTATGCTGTTGTTCTGCTATCCTGCGATGAAATCAACAGAGTCCTCTTTCTGCTTGGGACGATTTTCTTTTTGGCTGATACCGCTGTGACTCCTGTCTTCCTGGAAGCCCTTGTTGATATTAACTTCAACGATATAACATTGTTATTCTGGGATCTGCATTCCATTATTCATGTCCCAGTATCCAGCACAGATACTGTTCGTTTCTATCATGCTTCTTTTAGGGATTACCTCTTGGATCATCACAGATCTGAAGATTTCCATATTGATGAATATCCAGTGCAGTCTTTTCTTTTCAAATCATGCATGCGGCAGCTTTGCAATGCCCCTCACTCTGTTTCTGCCACCATGAGCCCTGCCCAGGAATATAGCCTGAAGTCATGGTCCAATCATTATATCAGGGGTGACACATTAAAGATGGGGTCACTTGACCCTTTCTTGGAAAACCTCAAACCTTTGCTTTGCCAGAGTTCAAACTCAAAAAGCAAGGCTGTTATTCCAGATCTTGCATACTGGGGGAGAGTTTATGGTCCTGCACGAAGCAAAATCCACCAACAAGTAAGTATCTACTTTAGATAGAGATATCAAGTTTTTAACTCCTCCATCTTTCCAGTGTACTTCTCAGAGGTCAGCCTGTACCCCCCTGTGCTGCAGATTCAATCCTATCCTTGACCAACATCTTCTTTTATGGCTTGAGGAGTATCAATGGACAAAATTGGAGATTGCCTTAACATGGCTAATGCTTACACTTTACTATAACAATTCAGTTGGACCACCTTGGCGTCATTTGTTTTCAGGCTCTTACAACAACCTAGGAATTAGCTGGTTGTGGCGTTTTGACTGGGAAGCCACTTCTGATCAGGAATTTATTCACCTCTTGCTCACTTTTTTCCAACATCCAAAACACTGTGGTCGCCTCTCTATTGGAAAAATTTCAACCATTGGTGATTTTGCTCATCTCTGTGCACAGATTGTCCTGGATAGTTGCTTGGGTTTTACTGACCCGCGCAGCTTGAGGTACTTACTTCTTCATTCTTTTTTCTTTTGTTGAACATACATGTGACATGCCTATGCAAGTTATCTTTATTACCTTCACCAGGTGCTGCCAATGCTTCGGAAGAATCGACATACTTGCATGTACCCAGATGACATCATAACATGCCTCAAGGTAAGTGAGAATATATGATATCTGCTGCAGGGATTAATCTTGTGTGGTGTAGTCACAGCTCAGCAAGCCTGAGATCTTGGTGAATCGAGTGAACCTAGCTTTGGTAAACTTATTGCTAATATTTAAATGCCATCACTAAGTGTTGCATCACATGCCATTATATATAGGAATATATCCCTTATTGGCCAAACTTGGGGTGTGATGAGAATATTGATGTGAAGGTTGATGTGAAGGTTGATGTGAAGGTTGAAAAGCATTCTCTCAAATTTTGGGGGCGTGTCAGGTCACAATTTCAAAAGTTTTTAACTTAATATGTGTATCAAACTAGGCTGAGGACAGGTAGACAGGTATTAGGCTGATGGTAGGTTGCAATTTTCAATAGTTACCTGTCACTGCCTGAGGCAATCTGTTATCAATCTAGTACAGAAATATTGAAACAATTTTCCAGAGAGTTACTGAGCAAAGCTGAACAGAATGACAAGAGAACTGTTGACCCACCCTTGACCAAGTAATCACTCAGTACTACAAAGAACAAGGGGGTGTCGGGATCATAATCCTGGACTGGGGGCCAGTTGGTTGGTTGGTTGGGCCATCAGGCTGTTTAAAAAAATTGGAAGCTCAAAAATTTTGGCCCAAAAACATCATAGGCAGCCTTCCTGGTGGATAAATTATGCATAAGAGATACTAGAAAGCTTCAAGATGTACTAAATACCTCAGGATGTGCCAATAAACACCACTGAGGCTGCTTACATAAGACAATAACAACATCAGACAATAACTTTCATTAGTGTGGCAACCATTAACAACCTTTATTTATAATTTGTTAGCATATTCCAGGGCATGCAAACTCATCATGAAATTCCACGGAACAGGCACTTGAGGCAGGGTCCAATGTGTGATCTAGGCAAAGGTACCTCCATAATTGTTGACACTTGTTGAATAACAAAGCTGATGTGTATCCAGAAAATATTGATGATCAAAATCTCAAATTGATGAACAATAAGAACATTGAGCACATTGAGTGGTCATTTCCATTATTTTATTCTTTAACATAATCTTCAGCTGAGTGGTGTTGCCATGACTACCAAGATTATTTCCCAAAGAAATTGTTTAGATATGTAAATTGAATGTGCTCAACATTCTTATTGTTCTTCATTTTGTAATTGATGTTTTCCAGATGCACACCAGCTTCTTTATTTTACAAATGGCCACAATTATGGAGGTACATATGTCCAAATTTGTCCTGAATATTCTTTGGACCCTGTCTCAAGTGAGGATACTCACGCTGTGTCTCATTCTGACACCAACATGGTTCATAGGCCATATATTTCAAGCTCAAAAATTGGCAGTGAGGAAACATGAGGTTGGTGTGAAAGACAAAAATGTAAGGTTGTCGATTGCAGGATTGCTTTTGTGTATCCCAAGCAGAGCTGACCACCAACAATGTGATCCAGTGGGATGTGAAACTGTGTGAGAAAGTAAACCCACTTTCTGTTACTGCCCTTTGCATATATGATTGAACGTTTGTATTTTTTCTCACTATTTGTCCTGGCCAAATATGATGACAAATGTTGCCAAATTAAGCCGACAGACGAAGGTCTCGTCCGTCTCTGGCTCTCCCCCTCTGCAAAGATCTGAGAGACGATGTGGTGAAGTGGCCTCAGGGTTATGGGTATTCTTACACAAAGCTTGATGAGTTTTTAGGCTATTGATCTGGTACATTAGCAGTAGCTTGAGTAGCTATACTTATGGTCAATCTACTACTGATCCCTAAGCATCCCTTTACAATGTTTTATAATAAATACCCCAGGAGGCTGAGAATACAAATATCTCGCACATTCTTGACAGTCTTGCAGAGCTAGCAACCCAGTATCTACTTGAATGAGATCTGGGCAAATTTAAAGAGGATTGGGGAAAAGATTCTCATGAATGAAGGCAGAGATAAATATTCTTGTCACTTAATTATATTCTAAGAATGACAGAGCTTTTTTCAATGTTGTTCATGGCCAGAAGGCGTTGAGAGAGCTTGTGGATGGTATACTTAAGTATTCTCAGAACGTTGTTCCCTACCCACCTTTGCCTAATTTGGTAAAATTTGTCATCATATTTGGCCAGGACAAATAGTGAGAAAAAATTCGAGCGTTCAATCATATATGCAAAGGGCAGTAGGGTTTCAATGTAAAATGTACTTACATCTTCATGTCAAATCATTCTGATATCACCTCATTTGTATTTACCTTGCACAGGTGCCCATGCATTGGGTCTGCAATGCATGTTCAATGCAGAGAGGAGAACAGGAGGACAGTGGTGACATAATATTTCCTAAAATAGACATGTGCCTGATGGTTGGTTCAGCCCAGCACTCACTACCCAAAAAATTGACCCCAGGTCTTTTTTTTAATCCTGACACCCCCTTGACAAAGAAGATGAGTCATTTGATTACAAATTTAAAGATTTATACTGAAGAGGGCTGGTTGGCACTGGCCTGGCAACAGTTGAAAGGGATGGGAATGCAAGCATGGTGCACTGTAATAGGGAACTTAATTGAATATTCTGAGACATAAAGAGAAAACATCTCTGCTTGCTGGATGTCAGCTTTTGTTAGGATCTGTCCTATTCTTTAGATAGGGCGAGAAATGAGGAAATGGTCAGTGTAGAACCACCAGTAGTTACTAGACTGGAGGGGACATGATCTATAATAGAGTTGTTGTATGGAGTTAGATTTGGCAGAGTAAGCACACAGAGATGCTTGGAGACACAGAGTTAAGTCCATTGGAGATGAGGTTGGCATAAGCTCGGAGTTGGAGACTCGAGAATATGCCAGATGAGCAAAACACTAGATGAAGTGTTAGTGAGCCAAATATATGTGATAACTTAGTGTAAGGGGAAAAATAGATTCAGCGTCAGAGTTGAAGTCTGAGGAAAGTTAGTAGGAAGTAATGCAGATGAGAGACTGAGACGAGAGGATGAAGGAATAAGACAGAAGTGTCTGCAAGTAAAGTTGATCTTCAATCATATGGATCCTTACTGTGTCGAGTCAATGCAGCCACAAATCCAGCATTTGTCTAATACAATAGGGCTGAGTTGTGAGATGTTTTATGATACAGTACATACTTAATGAATGAATGGTTGATATCTATGTAGTATAGGTATGCAAATCGATTCTCCTCCTCCCTTCAAATTACCACTCATCTAACATCTCCAGGTCTACCCAGCCTCAAAAAACAGGCAACGTATCCTTCCACCGCTCCGCCACCTCCGTCCCCTTGAACACCTCATGCAACACCTCATTCACATTCTCCACATACACGAACCTATTCATTGTTTCAACGAAAATGTCAGAATTGAGAAAAAAAGAGACACGAACCTGATCCCCGTCTTCACACTCTCCGGCACGTTCTCCTCTATATCCGCGCGATTCGCAGAGGGCGCGATGATGGTTTTTATACCTGCCCGATGAGCGGCTAGGATCTTCTCTTTTAGACCGCCGACGGGGAGGACTTGGCCTACGAGGGATATTTCGCCTGTCATTGCTGTGGTGTGATTTAGCTCAGCTTTCTTAGATAATGGAAGAAGGGGAAGAGGGGGAAGATAAAGGGGGCAGAACAGCGTAGGAGAAAGAGCGAAAAAAGTTAAGGGGAGAAAGAAAGAAAGAAAACCCACCAATATCAGGACAAACCTTAACACCACTAAACAAGCTCACAAAAGCCGTCAATATAGCCGTCCCCGCACTCGGCCCTTCCTTCCCTATACTCCCCTCAGGCATATGCACATGTATATCCTTATCCGTCAAAAACTGCTCATTCGCCGAAGTGGTGATGCCCAAGTCGTACGCATGAGATTTAACCCAGCTCAACCCGATCTGCGCAGACTCTCGGATGACTTCGCCTAGTTTGCCTGTTAGTTGGAGGGATCCTTTGCCTGGCATGCTCTGTGTATTCGTTCCGCTGTTAGTGATATTCGAAGAGAAGGGAGGAAGGCAGGAAAACGCACCATAGCTTCAACAGGCATAACGGCACCCGACCCATTACCCAGGTACCCTAGACCAGTACTAACACCAGGAGGAGGCGGGTGTACGTACATCCTGTCTTTTTGGTATACAGGTGGACCGACGTAGTCTTTCAAGTTTGAGGGTGTAATGCGGACGTGTATGTCTGAAGGGATTGGCATGGGTGAGCGGAGGTGGGTCGTTATTGGTTTCACTTTTTCTTGTGTGGAAGAGGAGGGTGGAGGGGGAATGTTAGGAGGGGGTTCTTGCGAGGGGACGGATTGCGTGGATGCTTCTTCTGAGGCCGTTGATGCTGAACTTGTTGTTGACGTCGAATCAGCAGCAGAAGCAGCTTCAAGCTCAGGCTCCTTCGGCTCAGGGAACGTCTCTTCCCCCAACTCCTTGACCAACTTCAACGCCGCTTTCCTATATATCTAAAACGTCCTCACATCAGCCTCTTTCCATTCCCCACTCAAAAGGAAAAAAACGCACCTTATCAATATGTTTCTTCAAATTCCTAACCCCACTTTCTCGACAATAATACTTGATCAACACATCCACCGCCTCCTTATCCAACTCCACGTCTGCCCCTCCAAGACCAGAAGCATCCTTTGCCTGTGGTCCCAAATACCGCGAAGCGATGACCGCTTTTTCCTCAGATACGTACCCGGAAACTTCGAGGACTTCCATACGGTCCAAGAGAGGCGCAGGGATAGTGTCGAGGTTGTTGGCTGTACACACGAACAGGACGCGTGAGAGGTCAACGGGGACGTCCATGCTATTCCATCAAACCGTTCATCAACATCGCGAAAAGAGGAGAGGAGAGAAGAAACCCACTAATGGTCCAAAAACCCAGAATTCTGCTCCGGATCCAACATCTCCAATAAAGCGCTAGCAGGATCCCCATTAATCCCCCTCCCAATCTTATCAACCTCATCAATAAGCACCAACGGGTTCTCCGTCTCAACCCTTTTGAGAGCTTGTATAATCTTTCCAGGGAGCGCACCAACATACGTCCTCCTATGCCCCTTAATCTCCGCAACATCCGTCAACCCACCGACCGAAAACCTGAAAAATTGGCGGCCCAACGCACGGGAAATACTCTTCCCTATACTCGTCTTCCCCACACCTGGAGGACCGACAAGACATATAATCTTGCCTTGTACAGTCCCACGCAATTTACCCACCGCGAGGAATTCGAGGATCCGTGATTTGACTTCCGATAACCCATAATGATCCTCATCCAACACCTTCTCAGCATGCGAGATGTTGTAATTCTCCGGCGTATGTCGTCCCCATGGAATCTGCGTCAACCAATCCAGGTAATTCCGCGTAACGTTCGCCTCACTCGCCGCAGGTTCCAAAGACTGCAGCTTCGCAATTTCCTCCTCAAACACCTTTTTAACAGGCTCAGGCATCGCCAACGCCGCAGCGCGTTCTCGGAACTTTTCGATGAGTTTATCCTTCCCGTCCGTTTCCATGCCCAACTCCTTTTTGATCCCTTTGAGTTGTTCCATTAGGTAGTACTCCCGCTGCCGTTTGGCGATTTTGCTATCGACGTCTCGGGAGAGTTTGCTTTGCAGTTGTGCGTTGATTAACTCTTTTTTGAGGACTAGAAGGGCTTTGCGGAGTCGGTCGTCTACTACGAGACTTTCCAGGACGTCTTGGAGTTCTTGGACTTCACCCGTTGATACGGCTGCTGCAAAGTCTGCGAGTTTGTCCGGCTCGTCAAAGACGTTTGCGGCTACTTGGTTTATTGAGAAGTTGGTGATTTGGTCTCGGAATAAGGGGTTGAGCTGCGCGATGTCTTTGAAGACGGAGACGATCTCGGACATGAATGCACGGATGTGTTGGTCATCACGGGAGTAGGGAGCTGTTTTAAGGTTGGCGATGTTGACGATGGAAATTCCGTGGTCGTGTAGGAAGGCGGTTTGTTCCGGGATGGGAGCGAGTGGTGGGGGCGTTGATGGGGGCGTTAGTAGTTCGCCGGTAGTGCTGTCAGTGCCGATAGGTAGTGGCGCCTTGACCAAGTCCGTAATCTTAATCCTCCGATGCGGATAAAGCACCGCCGTCAATCCCTCTCCTTCCTTACCGTCCCCCCCCGCCGCAGCAAAGACACTCGTAATTTGTGCAAAGACGCCGACGCTGTGAACTGCGTTGACGTCCGTTATCACATCGCTATCCGCGTTTTCGTCTTTCAAAAGGAAAGCACCGAGGTAGGGTTGGCCGCGCTTCATCATTTCTTTAATGGCGCTTACGACTTGAGGGTTTCGGACGACGACGGCTTTGTAGAAGCCTGGGAAGAGGGGACGGCGGGCGATGGGTAGGGCGAGGACTTGGGGGTAGATTTCGGGGACGGATTGTTTGGCTATCGAGCTTGAGCTCGAGGCAGAGGAGGAAGAAGAGGACGGTGGGGGTGGATTGCTGTCATTCGCAGGAGGTGGGCCATCGTCTTGAGGTGGTGGTGCCGAGTCGGATGACGAGTTGTTGTCGTTCTCGTTCTCAGGCTTGTCCTCTGACTCGGATGCGGACTCTGCAGATTCGTCTTCTGCTGCTGCGTCCTCTTGGCCTGGCTTTGGATTAACCCAACGAGGTGCTTTCGATGCAAGAGAAGGACAGAGGAGGGTGATGGGTGACGAGGAAAAGGTGCGTCGAGGGTAAGTGTATGGTCGTGAAAGGACGCGACGGGCTGCTGCTGTGCGAAAGTAAAGAGCCAGGCCAAGCACGCCCGACATCGCGGGCAACAGCGAGCAGACTGTTTAGAACGTTAGTTATTCAGAGCGATTGCAAGTTGTAAAAGTTTTGCAAGCATGACGCATCATCATGGCGCACAGCCACATACTGACAAAGACACCACGGTCAATGTTTTCCGACATATCCTCCTGAGTCCTCCTCAATAATGGCCCACCAACTACGGCTGTTTTATATAAATCCAGGGGAAGTCGCATTTTACCACTCACACCATAATCTAGTATCATCCATGATGTTCGTGTTGCCAAAATCCCCATGCACAAATTCAGCTTCAAGAAATTGCTGCCAATAATGTCGGAGATTTATTTCTTTTGTCACAACCAGCCGAAATTGGGACGGCTTTGAATCGGCATTCTAACCAGTGCTAACCGTTGAAAGTTCTCTATTTTTCCATTTTTTTAGCCCAAAATTGGCTACAATCACGCCGGAACTCCTGTTGCCACCTGTTGCAACCAGGTTGCCACCCTGGATGGGACCAAAATTGTAACCAAAAACTCTTTGGTTGCTCCTAATTATAACGGCAATTTTGATAGGAACGTCCACAACAAGTTAGAACCTGTTGTGATGCCGAATTAGAAAACTCTGACATTATTGTCCTATATTTTTTCAAGATTACAAGATTCCTTGACTCTGAGCTCCTAACACATCATGGATCATGCCCAGTGAAAATGAAGGAAAACCAAACTGAACCACACTGAGCTAATTATAAGCAACACAACATCATCGATTCAAATCGAGCTGGACCCTTCTCGCGCTCAACACTATTGAAGGAAATCCATCCCCACTACTCGTCAAGTTCCTCTGCAACAATCTGAAACCCCGATGCACTCCAGAGAAAATTGCCCGGCGAATGTGCTCCGTTGCGCAAACTGACTCCCCAACCCCACACCAAATCACAACACATGCATGCCTCAGCACTTTTTCTCCATTATTCCCATCTCGCTCCCGCAGCCTCTCCGTTGCCCGCCTCTTCCCCACCACATTACTATCTTGCGCCGTCTCCACGATACTTCCACCAAACGATCTCCTGGCCAGCCGGCGTTGGTCACCTCTCTGGCTTCAGTCGCTCTACATTGCACACTCTCGCCTCGTTAAGGGAGAAGACCAGAGGTCGTCGATGGGTATTATGACTGTTGTATGCGGCTTTCCATGTGATGGCATTTGTGCTAGGATCTAGTAAGAACCCCCTTTGCGTTGGTGAAGAATCTAAGTTGATTGTATGCGATGTTCGTGCGCTGTTCAGTCACAGGGCTATGCATGCTTGGTGGTCTTTGGTTTACAGGACACATCCCAGGTGAAGATAGTTGTTTTTAAGAGGTAGGGCCCTTATTTTGTTCAATTCTTTGGTGTATGCTGACTATATGCATTGAAATTTAGCTTCAGCGCCCCACCTTGCACCACATGCAGTCAAGTCAGAGAACAAGTATGAGGGGAAGGCATTTGAAGCTGAGATTGCTGAGATATGGCGGAAAGTGAGTCCGTAATTCTGGGGCATACGTGGTTTGCTCACTCCACATTCCATCCAACACCTTCTCGGTAGAGAGACCTTTAAATAAGTGATGAGAAATCATCTCATATGAAGACGGCAAGAGAAACAGGCAGACAAGGCAGCGAGAAATGGTACGTATGTTTTCGGAAGCTTAATGACTGACATTATAACAAAGGCTAACTACCAGTCATTTTTGCTAGCTGGCACTGGCACCTGCAAATGTGGTTCGTGAAGTGTAATGCCGTTAATCTTTTCGTTATCAGCGCTGTTTATCCTCATTTCCAGAAATCGTTACTTTACGACGTCCCTTGAATGTAACAAACTCATTATTGCCGCCACCTCAAATTGCACTTGAAATTTTCAGTAATAGCACTGGAGAAAGACAGGAAAGGACTGGGAAGTAACAGAGGCAGATTGGTGGTGGGACAAAAAAATAAACAGTATGTTCCATCATTTCGAACGATACGTTCTCATAACTCTTGTTTACGTAGTGGCACACATCGTACTTGGTCCTTAAGCAAGCTTCATTTCCTCATCAACACTCCCCGCTCTCTGGTCGCCTTGCTCAGGCCAGTGACTGTTTTAGTACGTCACCTCAATGCTCACGCTTAAATTTTCTCACTGACTCTGTTTTTCAAGTACCCAACATGTTGTAGAACCCAAGTAGAACCCGCGTCTTGTGGTAAGTCGTCTTTCTTTCACCTTTTCCGTTCTTTTCTGACTTGGCAATTTCGGTTGTGCTGTTCAATTTGGCTCGCTTAGGTCTCCGGCACACTCTATGCCACTCCTTGCCATTCTCAGTCACTTTTGCTCATCGGCCAAGTCTTGGAACAGATTTTCAAAGTCTCGATTTCACTCGATATGCTCAGACACTTAGTTTCTATCTGGATTGATGTGGTTTGGTCGCACTGTCCACCTGCAATTCACTCTCGTTAGGTAGGATTAGATTATTAGATAGATTCGGTTAGACGGCTATAGATGCGGCTGGGTTTAAAATCCAGCCAAACTTGTAAAAGTCTCTATTGTCGAGCCAAATCTAATTTTTTAGATTTGGCTCGACCTGGTTCAACCTGCTTAGCCCTCATTTTCACTGGGCATCATGATTCAAATGTGCTCTCTCGGCCATGTCTTAGCATGTCTTCTTCTCTGCTCACCAGTACAGTCAACTACTCGGTCCATGGCCCACCAATAAATACTGCCCATCTTCCAGCTTCTGTCCGAAGTTGAGGCCACTACCTATACGGTTTTTTTTCCAAACTGCACCTTGTCGCTCGCTCCAACCCCGATGTTTGGGAGAAGCCAATGGGTATGGACGCATACCTCAAACCAAAGGAGCTCTTCCCTCTCGGCGCCCATCCTCCTAGTGCTGTCTAGGAAGACACTGTCGCACCTTGTCTCAAGGCATACTCGCTCAGCCAGCAAGTCCAGGTCTAGCTTCTCAACTCCTGTCTCATCGGCGTTGCAGGCGAGACTGCTTCTCCCTTCATCTTGGTTGGAGTCAAACACAACACTCTCGTTGGTCAGGCTGGCCTGGACGCCGCACTAGCGCGCCAATCTATTCTTGTTGAGAACGGTTCCGGCATGTCGTCATCGTTTGTGTTCAATTCCAAGAGTTTGTATAAGCCCACCATTACTGCCAACTCTGTCTTCACCGTCCGCGAGCCCTTTTCCACCTCCCGGCACCTCCATCTCTCCTGCTGAGTCCCCCAATTTAGAAGGGGGGCACTGGAGGTTTTTTGTTCCTCGACAAGACCAAGCCTGGTGTTCTCTACCTCCTTACTGCAAGACACCTCCTCATCCACTGACCAGGAAGAGAATGACCTCTTTACCTTCCGCGAGGAAAAACCAAAGAAAGTCCTGTTCATGGAGAAGGCCGCGTTTGAGAGTTGCTGCAATACAGCGATTATAGGTCAGCACCTCACCATCAACTACCTCAACAGGCGTCTGGAGGCTGCTCAGAAGATGGAGGATGAGGAAGAAGCCAAGATGAAGAAAGCTGATATCGCGAACCAAATGGCGTGGCAGACGAAGGGCATTGAAGTTTATCAAAAGTTCCTCATCAACGTCACCAGGGACTGGAAGGACAAAAGGAATTGTATCATCGGGCATGTCATTTTGTCTCCACTCATCTGCTTCGACTATGGCGACGAATGCTTCCTGATGACTGGGCCATCTTTGAAGTTTATCCCTCTATGATTGGCAAAAGCTCAACTTTGTTGGGCATGCCATCGATTTTGGCTTTGCGTGGATGGACCCTTCGTTTGAGTACCCTGGGGACCGACTTCTTCATTTCAGTGGCCTCGTTTCAGACAAGGAGATGTTTAAACGGACTAATTTGGACCCATCCCCTTGGCGACTCATCCCCCTTGGCTATGCCACCTCATTGATGTTTAACTTATTTTGTTTTCATTTCTTTACCACCTTTTCAAATGTTATTGCGTATCAAGTACAAGTGATATATGACTGTGTTCTTTCCTCAGTCATGGCCGAAGCTTCATGTTGTTAAAAGCAGCATCTCGCTAGCTAATATACCTTCCCAGTTCTATTCAGAAACACTCGCTGAGGCTCGTGACCGACCTTGCTATTTAGGCACGATATCAGATGACCTATGCCATCATGGCTGGTAAACATGCTGCACAGCATCAACACTTTCTTTCATACCACCATGTCTGATTCCAATTGCCCCCGCGAAAACTGTCTGAAGGGCAAGTTTAGGGGACTGCTTGACCGACTCATGGGCGCAGACCGCCTACGTATTGAACACCCACATCCTAGTGGTTCGAGGTTAGAGTTTATGACTCCCACATTGTCAGATAGCATACTGACGGGATTTAGGTCGACATTCACAAGGGCGCTAGGGGGAGGAACATCTCTGGTGCATGTTTACAATGCATGAAAAGTCTTTCCCTCATATCCTTTGTCTTTCAGAATCCCAGAATGTATTCCCGGGAGCTCACAACTTTGTTATAAGGGATACAACATTCTATGTGGCTCAAAATGTATGTACTGTTACAACAGATTGATGGTTTGAGATATTGATTGGACTGTTTGTCAAGATTGAGGTTCATGAACATGCCAGCAGGGGTGAAGATGATTCACCCTTTGTTTCCCAACGACCAAATTCAAGTGCCTTATTTACTGGTTGTGAGAATGTACTCAAGATGCTGATGGATCATTTTGCACCTCAAGATCAAGGAGATAGATGCAGAAAGTTATTTTTGTTGTATGGCATGGGAGGTGTTGGCAAGACACAGATTTGTCTGAAGTTTGTTGAGAAGATGGCTGAAAGGTAAGTTTTTTCACACATTATATTTCTGATCTTATGACAAGTACATCTAGACTCTCCCATGTTTTCTGGATTGATGCATCTTCTGAAGATACTATAGCTCTTGGTTTGAAAAGTCTTTGCTATCATCCTGAGGCTAAAGCTACTGGTGTCTCTGTGTCTGCTGAGTCTGCCCTTATGTGGATGGCATCTCTTCAGAGTGAATGGCTGCTTGTATTTGACAGTGCTGATGGTGCACCTGAAGTTGTAGAGAAATTTATTCCACCTGGTTCTCTGGGTAATATTCTGGTTACTAGCAGAAACAGATCTCTTGGGCGTGTCACATCTTATGCAAACTCTCTGGAAATTGATCAGACTGCTGAGGAGGATGCTATATTACTTCTGCTGAAAGCCAGTCATCTAACTGAGAAATCAGAGAATGTCCACAATATAGCTCAGCAGATTGTAAAGGAGCTCTGTTGCTTACCTCTAGCTGTTGATCAAGCAGGATCTTCTATTGAAGCTGGTCTCTGCAGCATTGATCATTATCTTGAGCAACTCTCTCAACATAGAGCTAAGTTGATGAACCATCCTTCATTCAAGGGGGCATCCCAGTATGACTGTACAGCCTATGAAACATGGGATTTGTCATTTAATAAAATCAAATTAAGGGCAAACAAGAAATCTGATGAGCATGGTAGAGCAGCTGCTCAGGCTGCTATTCTTATTCTTGAAACTGCTGCATTTCTACATCATGAGAATCTCATGGAGGCTGCTTTTAGAAAGGCTGCTATGGAATTCTCTAAACGACATCACAGAAAACTGGAACAAAAAGTCAAAATTTGTATCAATCAATTGCTTCAACTGGATCAAGATCAGTCTTGGAACCAATTATTTTTTCATGAAGGAATTAGGGTTCTTATGTCATTTTCTTTGATTAAACAGATCTCAGCCTCTCCAGGAATTTATGCTATTCATCCTTTGGTGCATAAATGGAGTAGAGATAGAATGTCAATACCTAAGAAGAAGTGCATGATGAAAGTGTCAAAATTGATTCTTGTGAACTGCATTACAGAGGAGATAACAACTGAGAACATTGCACTCAACAGGCTTCTTGCACCACACATCAAAGCCAATCACCAATCACAAGAGGAAAATGGCTTTGAAAGAATGTTTGATGATGATGAATATTCCAGATTTAGTTATGTTTTGCATGAAAATGGAATGTGGAAAGATGCAGAGTACCTTCGATATCAACTTGTAAAAATCAGCATGAAGAACCATGGGAGAAAGCATCCAAACACACTGATCAGCATGACAAATCTTGCAGAAACCTATTTTGGACAAGGAAAATATGATGATGCTGAGGAACTAGAGCTGAAGGTTTTAGATCAGGAGAAAAAGGCACTTGGGCCAGAACATCTGTCAACACTGAGGAGCATGGGAAATCTTGCAGTAATTTATTCACACCAATGAAAATATGAAGAGGCTGAGGAGCTACAGCTGAAAATTCTGGATCTGCATAAAAAAATGCTTGAGCCAGAACATCCAGAAAGACTGATTACCATTGGAAATCTTGCAGTCACATATTCAGGGCAAGGAAAATATGAAGAGGCTGAGGAGCTGCAGCAGAAGGTTTTGGATCTGCATGGAAAAATATTGGGGTCAGAACATCCAAATACCTTGACCAGCATGGCTAATCTTGCAGTCACATATTTTACTCAAGGAAAATACAAGGAGGCTGAGGAGCTGCAGCTGAAGGCTTTGGATATACATAGAGGTCTTTACCTTCCCTGGGTTATTCCGTATGGAATCCATATGGAATCCATGGAATCCATGGATAATTCCATATGGACTCCATGGAATCAACATTGGCTGGGGCCTCAGCTGATTTCTTATTCCATAGACATCATGGATTCCATCTGGAATGGTCATGGAATTGATCATTCCATGTGGAATCCACCACCATTCCAGATGGATTCCACTGGACTCTATATGGAATGAGAGCATATGCACCCTGGACTCCATGGAACAGTCCAGGTGGATTTCATGGAATGACGCCATGGAACATTCCAGGTGGATTCCATGGAACAATTCCAGGTGGATTCCAGGTGGATTCCATCACCATTGTACCATTAGAATACATATAAACAGTACTAGAAAGTATTGAATACCATCCCAATAGTATTTATAGTCTTCTTACTATATTAATAATAAATAAAAAAAGTTGCATTCTTCAAGGATTGAACCCAAGACTACAAGAACAAGAGCAATGCTCAAGTCAACTGAGCTATAAGGGCTTTGTTATAGGTATAACTTAAACACTATATAACCCCCCTTTGCCGCCCACAGCCCAGAACGTTCCAAACATGACATCTGTGGCTCAAACGTTGACACGTCACTTCCTTCCCACTACCATCACCACCTCACCACGACCACCGCCCACTACGACGACAACGAAACCATGCCGCCTCGCACCCGCACCGATGACAAAGCCTCACACAGCAGCCACATACGCGCTCACACGCCTGTCCGCAAGCGAGGGCCATCGAACGCAGGTGACCAGGCAAGCAAATGCCAGAAGAAACACCAAAACCGACCCCGAGTCCAACGAGCCAGCACAGCCTGATGTGGTGACGAGAGGGACAAAGGTGGGGAAGAAAGGAGGGGGGAAGGCTAAGAAAGGGAAGAAACCAAGGTATGTACCCCATCCACGTCGACATCCATGTTGATCACTCACCATCGATAACGCCGATGGCGCCCAATTACAGGAAAACGAGCACCCAAAAAGCGGCAGAGGATGCCAAGCAGCCCTCTCCCGCCAAACTAACCCTGTAAGCCCCTCCCCCTTCTTTCGACCCCCGCTACTGACATTGCTAGGGCCGAGCGGAAGCTCGTTGAGAGCAGAATGGCCATTGCCCCCCCGGAACATATCCGGGATGCCAGTGCATCCCACATGCTGCCCCCGCCTGCTATCGTTAGTGCCAGGCAGCGTCGTCCTGACAATGCTGCCCCCGCAAAGGAGCCACACATGGGCGTTAATGCCCATAGCGACAGCTCCAAAACGAGCAGCGAGGACGGTAGTGGTGCCAGCATGAACGGCAGCAGTGCCAGCGACGACGACAATGCCAGTGCCGCCTCCAACTCACCTGGGGAGGAAGCAAGCAACAACAACAACAACAAGAGCGGGGACGACAACAACAACGAAGAGAATGGGGACAACGACAAGAATGGTGACGACGACAAGAACGGGGACAACAAGAACGATAACGGGAACAACGACAACAACGATAACACGGACGACAACAACGATAACGGGGACAACCACAACAACGGGGACAACGCCAACGCCAACCTCAGCAGCAGTGACACCAGCAGCAGTGACACCAGCAGCAGTGACACCAGCAGCAGTGACACCAGCAGCAGTGACACCAGCAGCAGCGACACCAGCAGCAGCGACACCAGCAACAGCGACGGCGACGCCAGAAACACCAACACCGCCAACACCGCCAACAACACGATCGCCCATGCCCACGCCAACGTCGCCCATGCCAATGTCGACACCAACGTCAACGCCAACGTCCCCCACGCCAACGTCACCCATGCCAACGTCGCACACACCAACGTCCCCCACGCCAATGTCGCAATGACAATGCCGCCAACACCGATGCCTATGCCAGTCTGGACCCGGCAACCCCTCAACGTGTCCATGTCCGTGTGAACCCAGCAACCCCTCAACATGTCCGAGGCAGTGAAACTTTGACCACTGACCTCGGAACTAAGCTGGGTATATCAATTTCTTTTCTCCTTATAACCCATTTTATATATATGTGTATTAGTTATGACGGATGGGCTTGATCCTCTTCGTGATCAAGGTAATTTACACTTTGTGTTTTGAATTTTTAAATTTACGACATGCTGCAGACATTGA